GCGACGGGCGCTGGCGAACTATCGGGGCGGGTGGGATGTGATCCCTAGAAGTCGCTTGACCAGTCAAACGATAGCCACGCACGGCCACGCACGGCCACGCACGGCCTGACACAGCCAGCCCCGGGCAGGTGTCTCGAGACGGACAGTGGGCGGCAGATGGAGCGCTCCCGTCCAGGTTGGCTCCGTCGCCATCGGCACGTGAGGGGTGCACGAGGCGACGGTGGCGATGCGAGGCTTTCGGCAGGGGCCCTGGGGGGGGGACGGACGCCCAAGCGAGGTGGCCACGGTCCGCAGGGGAAGAAGCAGTGAAAGGGGCATTGGGCAGTTCTGGGGTTGCACCTCTGTGTGTGAGTGTCGGTGGCACGCGTTGATTCGTAGCGAGAGATCTCGCGTGGTATTTGTGCTGACCTTCATTCCGGTATACAGGGGAGTTTTGACAGGCCTATAGGCTGACTGTGAAATATGTCTCGGTTGGTTTGTCGTTAGCCCTGAGCCGGTTGTATGGACAACGCGTTCCTAATGCAGGAGCCAGTATACCTTTCGGATGACTACGACTGATTGCCCAGACAGTGACACTTTGTTTTATTGAACCCAGATAGATGATGGGCCGAGTTTACCAAAGACTGGGCACTGGACGCACAAACTTTCGGGAAAAAATATAAATTAAACAAAAATCATAAACCACGACCACAATGTGGATGACTAAAGAAGTTAAACATGCTCGATAGTAATAATAATTATATAAATGATCTATAAAAAAAGCCCCACTGACTCGTTTTCATGAGGGTCCTGCTCTGGGAACGTTTAATCAATGCCACGTAGATGCATTTAAAAACATACACAGAGGTATGTATGTACAGTAGATTGAACTTATTTCGCACCGTCGGTAGCCAACTGTGCAAATCGGAGGTGCGGGTGGAGGGAATGCGGTGAGGTTTGTTTGAGTGAAACGCAGCGAGCTCACCTCTCTTTAGCGCGACTGTTAACAGAGTGCACATCTACATTTCACAAGGGTTGGGGTACTCATACATTAATGTGACTTCTGTGCAGGTAAGGTATCTGATGCAGTTGTCTGTAATGCGTACAACTTAAATAGTCGGAAAGTTAGTGAGTGGAAATTAACTCTTGATACTGGGATCTGAGTCCTCGGCATTTTGACGGGGAGTGGGGGGGGGACGAGATAAGAGATGGAGCTGATGCGGCACGGGAGGATGTGGAGCTGAGTGGACTTGCCCATGACCGGTACCAGCGGTGGAGGAGGCTCGTGAAGGACGCTGCTGCTGGGCAGTTTGAGGCAGTCGCCCTCCAGCAACAAAGGAGGGCAGAAGAGCGACGCTCACACTTACCCAGCGTGGTGAAATATGGGCAAGCAACCCTCATGACCGACAGTGTGGGGAGGGCTTCATCCAGCAGTGGATTGGCACAACGGCTGTAAATATATATAATTAAACCAGGTGAGAGCCTATTCTGTATTTGTTTCTTGCAAAGCAGATCTGGAAGTGTAGATTATAAGTTGGCATTAGTTGGTGGGTTTTATCTCTCCTAATTTTGAATTTGGACCGTGAAACTGGAACGCATCAAAAGCCCTGATGTCGCGGAGTCTTTAACGTACACGCTACGCAGACGGCGCGCTTTGGCAATCCCCCGCAGGCTCGGCAGGGCCGAGCGCTCACCCAGATCCTCACGGCGCGCGCGGCGCATCCTCTCGTCTTGCTTCCGCTCGGCCTGCTCGCCGCTCCTTTGGGATGAACGTTTCCCGAACGTTATTTCCATTCCCAGTGACCTCGGCATGGCGCTGCACTGTGCGCAGCAGCAGCCGCCGCCGCCGTGCGGAGCGAACTCCCGAGAGAGCCACCACAGCAGAACGAACCCACGCGCGTTTCCCAGTCAGCCGAGTTTCTGTTATCTCCACCGGGCAGCCTTGCCGGATGAAGTTCACCACCGCAGCGATAACGGTGTCAGGCCACCTCGGTACAAATCAATTCCTGTTGCCCGAATACAGATGCCAGTTATTCCCACGAACGTCTCCAGGTAACACCGGGACAGGGTAACCCTAACTTAGGCTCGCTGCTTAGTCAGTGTGGATCACACGGAGGGGTTGGTGGGTCACACAGATCATTGTATATGTGTGTGTGTGTGAGAGACTCTCAAACTACAGGCCTATACATGGGGTGGTCAGTAAGAAGCGGACGAGTGAGTAGATTGCTGATGCACGTAAGAATTGCGCGTGTGTGTGTGTTTTCTCACCATCTTTCCTGGGCACACACACACACACGAACTCACTACTCGACTGAATCAATTATTCTGAAAGTATGCGCTCCCAGAAGGCCGATGGTTTGTAAAGATTGTGTTTTTTTTCTCTATTTTGTCACTCGAGAGTGTTTTGGTCAAACTGTCCAAGTTAAATCTCTCCTCAAAACGTGGCTTGAGCCTCTTCGAGGCTTTGCTGGATAAACGACTCTGACTTCAATTTTGATTTAAAAATTTCGTGACTGCAGGGATTTATATTCTTGGTTCTTTCGGTAAAGTCACAACGTAGAAGGGAAACAATAAAATAATAGATTTTGATTTAAAGCTTTCGTGACTGCAGGGATTCATATTCTTGGTTCTTTCGGTAAAGTCACCACGTAGAAGGGAAACAATAAAATAATAAAAATATACGGATGCCGACCGATGCCACCGCTACGCCGTCCCGATCGACGCTGGCCCAGCGCTCTGGTGCGGCTTTTAGGCCTGACAGGGGCCTGAAGCCACGCACCCTTCGGTTGCCTCCAGTCAGCCGATTTGTAAATCAGAGCAATAGTTTCCCTTCTACGTGGTGACTTTACCGAAAGAACCAAGAATATGACTCCGACTTCATTGCTCTGGTTTACAAATCGGCTGACTCGAGGCAACCGAAGGGTGCGTGGCTTCAGGCCCCTGTCAGGCCTAAAGGCCGCACCAGAGAGCTGGGCCAGCGTCGATCGGGACGGCGTAGCGGTGGCATCGGTCGGCATCGGTGGCCCTCCCAGACGTCGATTCTCGTCGTGCTGCAGTTGGAGGAAGGCTGAGGGTTCTCCTCAGTGGTCAGGACTGTGTCACGTGTCACACTCATTGTGTCACGCGTCACACTCATTGTGTCACGCGTCACACTCATTGTGTCACGCGTCACACTCATTGTGTCACGCGTCACACTCATTGTGTCACGCGTCACACTCATTGTGTCACGCGTCACACTCATTGTGTCACGCGTCACACTCATTGTGTCACGCGTCACACTCATTGTGTCACGCGTCACACTCATTGTGTCACACGTCACACTCGTGTTCCTTGCACGCTCGCTGTATTCTGCTGACATTGCGAGTCTCTTTCCAACATTCACCTGAGCTCGTGTATCTTCGTTTAGGGATCAACTTCGCTGTCCGGTGGTTCTCTGCAGAGTTCCCGGTCATTAATGGGATATAATTAAATATGTGGTGTCTGCTTCTAGGCCAAGATTGACGTGCAATGACCTTCGGCTAAATTAGTGACCTGAAATTACAATAATATTTCCCTTTATTTATTGGGATGTGTGGTTGCTTGTTTGAAAGAAAAAAACAAAGTACCTCGGGACACCGCGTGCATGCGATGAGACATCACTCAGTCATCCACAGAGGTCACTGCCTCAAATTGTCCGCGAACTGCCACAGGAAGCAAGTCGTGCACCACCTCGTGTCAGAGAATGGCGCCAGAAGAGTACATCACAGAACCATTTCAGAAATCCCTCCTTTGCGTAGTCATTGGTGACCGGGCTGAGAGAATCCGGTTTTATCGCGGTTGGCTTTGAACTGGATTTGAACCTCGGTTCTCAGGCATGTCCGCCCAGAGACACCTGTCACACGTCGACTGAAATTGTGAATACTCACTGCCGCTTGTCCCACGTGGCTCAGATTTTGCTTTGTAATGCTGACGATGTGGCGCACGCCTGCTCCCGGAAGCCAGCAGGAATGGGCTTTTCGGCCTTGACGCCACCTCTTCTGAAGGTGCCTGCAAAGTCAAAATCGAGCGCGGTGGGTCACGCTTCAGCGCCACGGGGCTCACCCGGGGTGACCTCCCTCCTGTCTGCTCCATTCTCTCGCAGCTCCACCCACGCCTCCATAGTTATCTCTGCTGTTGCTCACTCCACCCCACAGTCTGCCCCGATATTCACGTCGGCCTCGTGCGACGCGTCTGGCGGTGACGTCGCCCGTGCTACTAATCCCGTGGCCCCCAGAGAGGCGCTGAGCTGAGTTGACTCCCGGCCACGGCGTGAACGCCTCACGACCTCCCCTTGCGAGCAGAGCGCTCTGCAAGAATTCCACCTGGGTCAGCTTTGGTCACCCATTGCAGAGGCTGGCTCCTGCAATACAAATGTGGAATTTTCAGAAGAATGACTGGTCTCACACCGCGGCTCAGCAATATCTCTAAAGTTACCGTTGCACGCAGAGAAACAGCCACGCACCGCCCTTCTTGTCAATCCACTGCTGGATGAGGGCCTCCCCAAACCGCGTGGGTCGTAGCAATTATTTTCCATGCGTCACCACGCTTGTCAGTGTGGATTGGTGAATGGAGCATAGAAGCGGGGGTACGGTGCAGTACAACAATAGGTGTTGTGGCCGTGTCCCTTGTCCACAACAAAGCCCCACGGCAGCTGCTCACAACCCCCGAGTGATGCTCGGTGATCGCCCATCTAACGCAAGGGACATGGGCATTGGAGCATAGTACAGTACAACAATGGATTTGTGTGCACTGCCCCCTGCTGGCAACTTAGCCTCGCAGCAGCCTATAGCACCTGTATAGTGCACGGAGGTCCCCCGTCCAAGCGCTATCCAGGCTCCAACCGCACCTTCGATTAGCACAGGTGACTACGTACGGTGGGAAAGAAGTTCAACATACATACATAAACCCTGTTTAGCTTCCGAGGTCTGTCGAGATGGGGTGCATTCCGGAGACGTGGGTTCGAGAGAGTCGTAGGGACTGCTCTGCTGCCACTGAGCCCGGAGCGCCTGGGGTGAGTGGGGGGGGGTCTGGAATGTGACCTCGTAGCCGCACGTTTCGCCGCCGCTAAACTCGGCCCGGGCAGTCATTCCACCCAGTTCACCACTCCGTTTCCATCCACGTCGGCTGATAGCCCCGTCGCTCCGCCCTGCATGCTCGCTAATGAGCTCCCCTACAGCCCCAACGCATCGCTGGGGCTGCAGTTGCATTTGATGGCTGTGGAAAGACTCCAGCGAGCTGTCTCCGTGTGTGACCTCGCTTGGTGGAAACGGCAGAGCTGGAGCGGGTGGTGGTGGGGGTGCCGCGTGAGTTGGAACATTTCGCGGGTCAGGAGGGGTTGTCCACACACAAGAAGAGCCGCGTCTTTCTGTCCTATTTGCAGAAACCGAGTGAAGGTGGCGTCGTGAGTGTCCATCCACCAAGGCTGGCACAGCGTCACGCACAGCCAGCGTCACGCACAGCCAGCGTCACTGTGTCCTCTCGCGTTGACCGTGTCTGTACAAATAATGACAGAATGATGCGGAGACGTTGGCCAGGTAAAAGCTTCATTGAGTCTGAAGAGATTTGTGTGTGGAAGGGGGCCCGCCTGGCCATTCATTTTGAGCAGGGTGCCTGACAGAAGCTAACTCGTGCGAGGGAAAGACATCTGTTGCCTGTTAGAGCAGAAACCTACTTGCCGTGCTGACAATTGCTCGTGCTTGTGGCCCTTAGGGATTTCCACTGACAGGGTCGAAAACAACCACGGCGCGTGCCACCTCGCACGTCGTGAACAGTCGCCGTGTCATTGTGAGACTGCCCTGACCACAGCAATGTGGAATTTCCATCACAGATGAGCGCAGCCAAACAACCAAACTTTTTTCTCCCGATGGCGATTGCTTGTGTTGCGATCGAAACGTCGTGATGTTTTTATGTTTTTTATTCACTTTATTTTAACTTTTAAATATTGTTATTATTTTTTTAAATCTACGTGACTTCACCGAAAGAACCATAGAATCTAATAGAGACGAGGCCGCTTATTTCCCGCTGACGGCGGCCGCCTGCGTCGCGTGCGCCTCTCCCGCAGAGCAGAGCCGTCGCCACCGCCGCTGGCGCCGTAGCACGGAGCCCGCACGATGGCACCACCCACGAGCTCGGGGACCGGGGAGGGCGTCCCCGACGGCGGCTGGGGCTGGCTCGTCCTCGCCGGCTCCGTCATCTCCATCGGATTCTCCTACGCCACCCCCAAGGGGGTCACGGTCTACTACAAAGAGATCCAGGAGGTGTTCGACACCACCTACAGCGAGATCGCCTGGATCTCCTCCATCATGCTCGCCTTCATGTACGGCTGGGGTAAGACATCGCAACGCAGGCAACCGCGTTACTACAACAACAACAGTTGGCTCAAGACTGTTGACACGTGAGGGGGACACTCGCCCCGCGTGGGGCGCTGGGACCACGACGCCTGCCAAGGCCTCTCATGCAGCTCGGTCGTGGGGGAGCAGTGACCCACAGAAGGCTCCGTGCCCAGAACTGTTCAAAACATGTTTTTAGCTGCATGAGGCACAAAACAATATATATTTACGATTACTTTCTTCATATCTACGGCCAGAGTTATTTCTTGTCACTTGGGTGATTTTGTTTGGCAGATGCTGCGTAAGATTAAGGGCACCGATGTCTTTCTGCTAAGGGGTGCAACTGCTTGCAGCCAGCGAGCAGGATGTGGAATCTGGGGTATAGGGCGACACTGGGGCTGCTGCTGGGTACGCGTGATCTCGGGATGCCATCTCACACTTGGCAGCTAGAAGGAGATATATCGCAGCACGTGTTCGATGTCTTCCCACGTGCGGGTTTAATTTTACCGCGCTCAGACATTCGGAAAATGTTGTCGGGTGCCGAATCTCCTGGGAACACCTCGGGAGTTTCTACCCAAATGTTCTTGACGCCACTCCTGCGGCATCCGCAACCTCCGAGTGGGAGTTGCGCAACGTTCTCCCCTGCAGAGAACTCTCTACGTGTGTGTCACAGCTGTGTGTGTGTGTCACAGCTGTGTGTGTGTGTCACAGCTGTGTGTGTGTGTCAGCTCTATGTTTGTGTGTCACAGCTGTGTGTGTGTCACCGCTCTATGTGTGTGTGTGTCACAGCTCTATGTGTCTGTGTGTCACAGCTGTGTGTGTGTGTCACAGCTGTGTGTGTGTGTCACAGCTGTGTGTGTGTCACAGCTCGATGTGTCTGTGTGTCACAGCTGTGTGTGTGTCACAGCTGTGTGTGTGTGTCACAGCTGTGTGTGTGTGTGTCACAGCTGTGTATGTGTGTGTCACAGCTCTATGTGTGTGTCACAGCTGTGTATGTGTGTCACAGCTGTGTGTGTGTGTCACAGCTGTGTCTGTGTGTCAGTGACAGCTGTGTCTGTGTGTCACAGCTGTGTGTGTGTGTGTCACAGCTGTGTGTGTGTCACAGCTCTATGTGTGCTGTGTCACAGCTCTGTGTGTGTGCGTCACAGCTGTGTGTGTGTGTGTGTCACAGCTGTGTGTGTGTCACAGCTGTGTGTGCGTGTCACAGCTGTGTGTGTGTGTCACAGCTGTGTGTGTGTGTCACAGCTGTGTTTGTGTCACAGCTGTGTGTGTGTGTCACAGCTGTGTTTGTGTCACAGCTGTGTGTGTGTGTCACAGCTGTGTGTGTTTGTGTCACAGCTGTGTGTGTGTGTGTCACAGCTCTATGTGTGTGTGTCACAGCTCTATGTGTGTGTGTGTCACAGCAGTGTGTGTGTGTGTGTCACAGCTGTGTGTGTGTGTCACAGCTGTGTGTGTGTGTCACAGCGTGTGTGTGTGCCACAGCGTGTGTGTGTGTGTCACAGCTGTGTGTGTGTCACAGCTGTGTGTGTGTGTCACAGCTGTGTTTGTGTCACAGCTGTGTGTGTGTGTCACAGCTGTGTTTGTGTCACAGCTGTGTGTGTGTGTCACAGCTGTGTGTGTTTGTGTCACAGCTGTGTGTGTGTCACAGCTCTATGTGTGTGTGTCACAGCTCTATGTGTGTGTGTGTGTCACAGCAGTGTGTGTGTCACAGCGTGTGTGTGTGCCACAGCGTGTGTGTGTGTGTCACAGCTGTGTGTGTGTGTCACAGCTGTGTGTGTGTGTCACAGCTGTGTGTGTGTGTGTCACAGCTGTGTGTGTGTGTCACAGCAGTGTGTGTCACAGTGTGTGTGTGTCACAGTGTGTGTGTCACAGCAGTGTGTGTGTGTCACAGCTCTGTGTGTGTGTCACAGCTGTGTGTGTGTGTGTCACAGCAGTGTGTGTGTCCCAGCTCTGTGTGTGTGTGTCACAGTGTGTGTGTGTCACAGCTGTGTGTGTGTGTCACAGTGTGTGTGTGTCACAGCTGTGTGTGTGTGTGTCACAGCTGTGTGTGTGTGTGTCACAGCAGTGTGTGTGTGTCACAGCAGTGTGTGTGTCACAGCTGTGTGTGTGTGTCACAGTGTGTGTGTGTGTCACAGCTGTGTGTGTGTGTCACAGTGTGTGTGTGTCACAGCTGTGTGTGTGTGTCACAGCTGTGTGTGTGTGTGTGTGTCACAGCAGTGTGTGTGTGTCACAGCAGTGTGTGTGTGTCACAGCAGTGTGTGTGTCACAGCAGTGTGTGTGTCACAGCTCTGTGTGTGTGTGTCACAGCTCTGTGTGTGTGTGTCACAGCTGTGTGTGTGTGTCACAGCAGTGTGTGTGTGTCACAGCTGTGTGTGTGTGTGTGTGTCACAGTGTGTGTGTGTCACAGCTGTGTGTGTGTGTCACAGCTGTGTGTGTGTGTCACAGCAGTGTGTGTGTGTCAGCTGTGTGTGTGTATCACAGCAGTGTGTGTGTATCACAGCAGTGTGTGTGTGTATCACAGCAGTGTGTGTGTGTGTCACAGTGTGTGTGTGTGTCAGCTGTGTGTGTAACAGTGTGTGTGTGTCACAGTGTGTGTGTGTGTCACAGCGTGTGTGTGTGTCACAGTGTGTGTGTGTCACAGCAGTGTGTGTGTGTCACAGCTTTGTGTGTGTGTGTCACAGCTCTGTGTGTGTCACAGCTGTGTGTGTGTCACAGTGTGTGTGTGTGTGTCACAGCAGTGTGTGTGTGTCACAGCAGTGTGTGTGTGTCACAGCTCTGTGTGTGTGTCACAGTGTGTGTGTGTCACAGCAGTGTGTGTGTGTCACAGCGTGTGTGTGTGTCACAGCGTGTGTGTGTGCCACAGCGTGTGTGTGTGTCACAACAGTGTGTGTGTGTCACAGCTCTGTGTGTGTGTCACAGCAGTGTGTGTGTGTCACGTGGTGCCGCCTCTAGGTCCCGTGTGCGGGGTCCTCGTCAACAAGTTTGGCAGCCGGCCGGTGGTGATCCTGGGCGGCATCATGGCTGGGGTCGGCATGATCATCGCCTCCTTCGCCACGTCCATCATGCAGCTCTACATCTGCCTCGGTGTCCTCGTAGGTCCGTGACGCAACGCAACGTCTTTGACTCCCCTGGCGAGCTGCAGCCGCCTCACGCGGCTACTGTGACGGCAAGCGTCGCCATCGTCAGAATCATCGTCATCATCATCGTCATCATCAGCAGCCTCACCGTTGTCGTGACTGACATCATTATCACCTTCATCCCTCTGGGTTGGGTAAAAATGGGGCTACGCCACTATTACAGAAAGTCAATCGTGGTTGCGTTAAGAACATATTTGGTCCTGTCGTGCAAATGTGGAATTTACATGCCTGCGCAACTGAAATCATGGTATTTTTTTGTAATCTTCTTCATATGCATTATGCTTCTGGGAGGAAACGTGTGTACCCGGATAAAACCCACTCATTGGAGCGAATGATGCTCCATTGTTGACACAAACATATCAGAAACCCACAATGCTGTGCTGCCACCACCACCAGCCAATTGGATTTGGAGTCTCACAGCACGTGGCAATCTCTCCGTGATGCACCAACCCCGCCTCCGAAACTCTGATGATCAGGCATGCGCTACCACTGATTGAACTTGAAGAGATTCGGGTCTCAAAGTTCAAAGCCCCCGTCTCTTGCCAGCATCACGACAGAGTGAGATCTGCGATAACGTGAACTAAATAATGTACCAGTGCCATGGCCCGAACTTAGAATGCGTCTATTGACCCTCAGCGAGGCCGTCCTCCCGAGTAAAAATGTCACACAAACGTTCGAGGGAGACGTGGTCCGTGACAAAGGAGCATTAGGGTAATCACTTTCCACAGTTCGGAGACTGGACCAGAAGAGGCGCTTGTTTATGTTTTGCTTTGTGTAGTTTGTACACCGCACTGCGAGGTGAATGTGTTTGCTTACGCCCGAGTTGTGAAAACAACGCAGTGCTTGCTTGAATCAGCGTCCCCGATGTTTATACGACTATCATCAGAGCTCTTGGTGAACACACAATCATCGCCAGGCTCACGTTCCACTCGCCTGGCCAACCAGGCCGGGATGTGCAGGTGGTGGTGGGATTATCACGTGGCGTTTGGGCGTAAGTTTAAAGTAAAGCGACCAAATATCTCAAAGGCTCAACCAGGACACGTTTGAAAACTAATTTATCTAGAGCTGCTTTTTGTGTGTTTAGTTTGTTGTCCTTCCCCTGCACCTCCGGTTATCACGGTTGGCTACGTACGGTGCGAAAGAAGTTCAATATACATGTACATGCAGCCACTTGATGAGCCCTTCCCTCAATCAGCCCCACCCACTTTTACAATAGCCCCGCCCACTCGACTGCTATCACCGCCCACAGTGGGTGGCCGTTCGTTCTCAGACCGCGCGCCACCCACGTCACCGCGCCCTTTGCCCTGTCATTGAGTAATGAGGACAGAACTTTTCAAAGCCGGGACAAAATCCCCATGATTTTTTTTACAAATGCTATTGCACACCGGGATGGCCCTTCTGAAACTGGAATGTCCTAGCCATACCGGGCAGGACATTTGGTAGCCTGAGCCATAATAAATAATGCATCTGTATGTCATACGGAGCCTCAGCAAATACCTACTCCCCAAAACCCTGGCGATAACTCCAAGATGCAGGCGCAAAGTCAACGCAGAGTGTAAGTTCCCAAATCACAAGTTGGCAATAGCGCAGCACCACCACTAAATCGGCTGTTTCCATCAGCGTGTGATTTGTCGTGACGACTGTGAAATGCGAACCACGCATTCCGAGAATGAAGTGATATTCACAGATGGGGAGCGAAGCACCTAAACATCGAGCCGTACCCTCAGAAATACATAACAAACGCCATACGCCACTAAGTGGCGGTGACACAGCCACAGACAGCACTTGTGCCAGGCTAGGTGCATTTTGAGGCCACGTGAAGTGTCGAAGGCTCGCTGACAGGAGGTCGCGGGACAGAGCCAGGTGCCATGGGTTGACTGAGTTGACTGGCAGATGCACCACCGGTGCTCCCCACTGTGCCAACTTGCTGTGTTTTAGCCGTCCGGCGTTCGATTCGTTATTGTGAGCATCGATCCCCCAAACTCCATTGTTGTTGAAGGGCGACTGCCTCCAAATGCCGAGCAGCGTCCTTCACGAGCCTCCTCCTCCACAGCGGCTGACCTTGGCAACGCTGGTACCGGCCATCTGCAAGCCCACTCAGATCCAAATCATTCCATACCGTAACAGCCCAGTTCAGGGGTTCACTCAACCTATCATCCTACAGGAGCAGATAAAACGAGTACCACTCTATGAGAAGGCACCGTTGGCCGTGTCAAGGGCACCGTATAAAGTTCACTTTGGGCCGAGCGCCGCGCTGCCCCTCGGCTCAGCCCAAAGCTCTGATTCTTGGGCCAAGCGGAGACCAGCCTCGTCGTGAATGACCTCGTGTGACCCCGCGTGACCCCTCCCCCTCCCCCCCCATCGTGCCGCGTACAGGCATGGGCCTGGCCTTCAACTTGCAGCCGTCGCTCACGATGATCGGGGTCTACTTCTACAAGCGGCGGCCAATCGCCTACGCCGTGGGCATGATGGGCAGTCCGCTCTTGCTGAGTACGCTGGCACCACTCAACCAGTTCCTGCTCAACACCTTCGGCTGGCGCGGCAGCTTCCTCATCCTGGGCGGGATCCTCCTCAACTGCTGCGTGGCCGGCGCTCTCTTCCGCCCGCTTCAGTTGCCGGTCAAGAAGCCGACGGTCGAGGAGAAGAAGGCGGAGGAGGAGGTGCCATTGGCGACCATCGAAGGCAAGAAGGCGGAGGAGGTGGAGGAGGTGAAGAAGAAGAGCGCTTGCGGGAAGATCACTGACCTCCTGGACCTCACTCTGTTTGTGCACCGGGGGTTCATGATCTACCTGGTGGGGAACGTGCTCATGTACATCGGGTTGCTGGTGCCCATCGTGTTCCTCACGCCCTCCGCCAAGCACATGGGCATCGAGGAGTACTCGGCCGCCCTGCTGCTCACCGTGCTGGCCATGGTGGACCTGGTGGCGCGGCCCGCATGGGGCGCCATCGCCAACTCACGCTGGCTCCGCCCGCAGGTAACCGCCTCGCTGCCCTCGATATCGCGAAGCGACCGGGTGGCACGGCCACAGAAACGTGGGGCCCTTCGCTTCGGCCTTCTTGTGGACGGACACAGAGAGAGGCAGACGGACAGATGGAGAACATATGGGAACGGCTGGTGTCTAATGGCGTCTCGAATCGACAAATCTCTGATTGGCTCTTTGGACGCTGGGATGAAAGATGGGTCTTTCCCCGTCAACGTTAGATCAGCCTTCTCTATTCAGTCGTTGTGTAATTTCAAGTCAGTAATTTCCGTCAGTTGTTATATCAACAAATCCAAGAGCGCTGATATATTTTCCCCATTTATATTCATTCCCTCATTAGATGAATGGAAATTATCTGCAGGAAATAATTCTGAGAATGTTTAATAAAAGAGGCTTACAATGTTAGGTTCACTGTAAACATGAGTGAAACAAAATGCATTGCTGAAACTGGATTAGCTTCATCCAGGTAAGCCTCAGTGAGAGCCAAGAACATTTCCCAGGAGGGTCATGCCTGGGTCATTGGGTCATTCCTTGTTGGCTATGTTGGGTGTGTGGGAAGAAACAAGCTCCTAGCTAAACAAAGTACTGTCGTGCACATATAGGGCGAGAGCACTGGTAAATCTGCACAAATGGGTCAAACATCAACTCCCCGCAGTGGCCACGTTACATTGCCGGCACCGGGCCTCCGTGCCAGTCGCGGAACTCAGCGGCCGTGTTGCGTCACCCTTCCCCCGCAGATCCACAACATGCTGAGCCTCTCCATCCTGCTGACGGGCGTGTGCGACCTGCTGTGCCCGCTGGCCACGGGATTCTGGGGCCTGGCGGTGTTCGCCGTGGGCTTCGCCGTCTTCTACGGCCTGCTGTGCGCCGTGCTCTTCGAGGCGCTCATGGACCTGGTCGGGGCGAAGCGCTTCCCCAGCGCGCTGGGACTCGTCACCATGGCAGTGTGCTGCCCGCTGCTGGTGGGGCCGCCCTTCGGAGGTGAGCCCCCCCACCACCCCACTCGCTCCCTGCCCCCCACCAGGTCCCACGCACCGCGCACGACCGCACACGATGCCAACAACGAAGCGTCACGAGCGTGGTCGGCGCTGAGACAGCGGCGGATTTTCCAAATTCTGAATTCCGACGGTGGAGGCGAACCTTGACATGAAACGACCGCTGTTGACTTGTCACAAAGTAGTAACTAATTTATTGACCTCGAAAGGATGATGGACAAAGTCGACTCCTGCCTGGGTGGGCTGCAACTAATTTTATTTGTGAATTATTCGAAACCACACTACCGCCTTACACAACGCACGTGCGTGCACAGAGGCTGTACAATAGATGAGCGTTACATACTGGGACTCTTCTTCCGCGTCTCTCTTCTCTTTGACGTGTCTGGATTGTCGCCTGCACCACGCGGCCGCGTGCCTCCCCACTCCGCTCTGTGGCCTCCCCACTCCGCCACCACCCCCGTGTGGAAGCAGCCCGCACAGCATCCCTCGCCTCACTGCCACACTCCCAGGACGCGCGCACCCTCTCCACACGTGCCCTCTCCACACGTGCCCTCTCCACACGCGCCCTCTCCACACGTGCCCTCTACACGCGCGCCCTCTCCACACGTGCCCTCTCCACACGTGCCCTCTCCACACGTGCCCTCTCCACACGTGCCCTCTCCACACGCGTCCTCTCCACACGTGCCCTCTCCACACGCGCCCTCTCCACACGTGCCCTCTCCACACGCGCCCTCTCCACACGTGCCCTCTCCACACGCGCCCTCTGCACGTGTGCCCTCTACACGCGTGCCCTCTCCACACGTGCCCTCTCCACACGTGCCCTCTCCACACGCGTCCTCTCCACACGTGCCCTCTCCACACGCGTCCTCTCCACACGTGCCCTCTCCACACGCGCCCTCTCCACACGTGCCCTCTCCACACGCGCCCTCTCCACACGTGCCCTCTCCACACGCGCCCTCTACACGTGTGCCCTCTACACGCGTGCCCTCTCCACACGTGCCCTCTCTACACGCGCCCTCTACACGCGTGCCCTCTCCACGTGCCCTCTCCACACGTGCGGCGCGGCGGGACACGGCCGCTCCCACGCCTTCTGTCGACCCACACTGCGGTTGCGAAGTCTGTGGGGGGTGGGAGTGGTGGCGCAGCAGTTAGCGTGCTGCACTACGAATCCGATGACCCGAGTTCGATTCCCGCTCACGGCCACCAACACCAGTGACAATTATCTGAACCTGTTCTGGTCCTCCTCTCAAATGAACACCTGTAAATCTTGCCACTGGAGAGACTAAAGGCATTCGAGCGTGGTGCTGGCCACCTACCCCCTCGTGTGCCGTGCCATCCTATCACAGGTGCTATTCGCCAATAGCACTTGCCCCAACAGTCTGGTAAAGGCTACACGGGGGATCTTTGCGTGTGTGTGCCGCAGGCTGGCTGGTGGACAGGACCGGGAGCTACAACGCCATGTACCTCACGTGCGGGGGCATCATGGTGCTGTCGGGACTCTTCCTGGGCGTCGGAAACTTCATCCACTTCCGGCTGCTCCGGCGTGAGCAGCTGCAAGAGCAGAGCCAGGACCAGAAGGGCGACCTGGAGTTGTCGGGCACCAGGGCCGGTTCGGGCACCCTACACGGGGAGAGCGACCTCACGCACAGGAACGGCAAAAAGGAGACGGACGCTTAGGGGCGTCTGATGTGTGAGCCCAGTAAACACCGCCAGCACCAACACCACCAGCAGCACCAACACCGCCAACACCGCCAGCACCGGCAGTAGCTCCACCACCGCCAGCAGCAGGAGCAGCAGCAGCAGCTCCGCAGCAGCAGAGTGCGACCCACATCTCTCGTCCGTTCAGCACATAATTTTCGACCACCCAAGCACAATGAGATTTTAACTTTTACCAAATATCTGAGGCCACTCCCCTTTAACTTCCTCTGTAACAACATTGTGTTTTTTTGTTAAACATGTATATTTATATATTTCTGGATGCTGGCAACAACTGCATCTTAAATGTCATATCAGATTGACGGCAAGAGATGAAGAGACATGTCCGTTCCGGAGTTCCTTCGGTGGGCAGGGCTCCAAGCCGTCACGGCAGGGAATGATGCTGAAGGCTACGCCACGGAACTCATCCAGAGGCCTCTGCCACCCAACGCGAGTCAGTCGGCACTCTGTCACAGGGCCTCAGAGAGCGGGGGGAGTCGGGGGTCTAGGAGGGAAGTTTGCGCGTGGCCTCAGATCCAAGGGGGTCTCAGAAAAGGCTCCAGATCCAGCCTGCTATGCCACACCGTGTAAGGAGATGTATCGCCTGTGTTACCCAGCAGACTCGATAAAAAATTCGAGTTCTCAAAAGCTCAACTTTATCCAAGTCAAGGGTGAAGCCAAATAATATTTGATGGCTTTCATTTGGACAGTAATGGGTGACTGGTGCTGAGGCCGTGAGCCCGATACTGTCCACACGGAGGCGGCTCCTACGGAGAGGAATCCCACACCCAGCGCCGGGAGCCGCCCGGTGCTACGAGTCGCTTAGCCGCTCGGCCTCCTCGCTGGTTGTGATGATTCCCATTCACCTTGTTGTTGTTGTTGTTCATGCTGTGTTAGTGAATAGGCAGTTTTGGTTACTGTTAGATATAGCAACCGAAGCAAACCGCAGGGTTTGCTTGGTCAGAAAAGCTGCCCCTGAATAGTTGTCGAGGAGTGCAGCGGAGGAGGAGCGCAGCCCACGTGTCACAGTGCACGGACTCACGAGGTCGCCGGCTACGTCTGCCGGCGCGGCAGTCGAGACAACACAGGGCACGGCTTCTTCCACCTCCCCACCTCCTCTTCCAGGATGTTTGACCAGTGTGGAAGAGTAGGCCAATACCCTGTAGAGGGAGCCCTCTAGAGCTCCCTCTCGTGGAGGCCTTTCTGCCAGCAGTGGTGTGAACGAGAAATGTCAGCGCTGCCCCTTTACCTTTCCCCTTGATACATCCATCAGTGGATCGACAAAGGGCTGTACATATTCAGTGTCGAGTACGTGGAGTGTGCATCATGCAAGGAAAACGTTTGAACTCAAGCCAAATGGCTCGTGTCTGTGCGCCATTGGGTCTGGGTTTATGAAAACGGCCGTGCATTTTGGGCTGGGGTTCAGCAACGGAACACTAAATGTGTAACTGTGTCAACTTTCCGTGCGTTAGGGATACAAATGATGCTATTTATATTGTTAGGTCTCAACGATATGCTCACGTGCTCAAGCTATTGTAATAAAAATGAGGATTGTTCCACACGCTTCTTAATGTTGTTTGTGAATGTTTGTTTATAAGAAGGCTCGTGTGCCCACATCACAACACAGAGTCGTGGAGCTTCGAGTCACCAGCGTGATGTATCATACCCTGGCTTGCCAGGAGAGGACAGAATAGTAGCAATGTGGACTCCACTTGTTCCGTCTGTGTGAGATACAGTGTTTCCCCCTCGCATGCCTGGTTTATTTTTCTGGTTACTCCGGTTTCCTCCCACATGATAACATTCAGTAATTGGACGATAACACCTTCACACTTAGAGGACGTCAGAGCTTGGACAATCGATTGGAGTCGGCTCACTGTGTAGCTGCCTTACCGCTCGTCTGTGGTTCCTCCTCGCGCCTCTGGAGTCGTCCTGTGGACGAGAGTGAGCGAATCCTGAACGCATTACAATTATCATCGACCAGTATCGAGCATGCAGCCATCTGGGAGGAGCTCCTTCTATGGCATCAACGTCAACGTCTTGTCCGCCAAGGTCACGGCTCTGAAAGAGCGAGAAGGTGGGAGTCAGAAGGTGCCGGGCCTGGGCTATCGGAGTGGCCCAGTGTCTCCGGTCTTGGCCTCTGCGGTCCTCGGGCGCGTGTGAGGTCTGCTGGTGTCGCCAGGCACGGGAGGAGGAGTGCCATGTTGGTGTTGGAGTATTGTTCTCTGTCTCGAGAGAATTATCTGAGAGGAGGTTGCATGCCCCTGGCAATGAAGTCCACGACTTTGGAATAGAATGTCCCAAAACAGAGCCGTCACTGCCAGCAGCAGCAGCAGGCCGTGTCTTGGCTGTCTGCTTCGTCCGGGAGTCTTCACGATGCCTCTGCAGTGAGTTTCAAGGTGAAAATGTCGACGGATGCTTGTGATTGAGCCTCGTCGTGCTGTGAGGAATCGGGGGAGATTATCATCGATCACTGCACTTGAGTTCCACTTGCGTACTGATGTTATATGTCTGCTCTGTTACTGAGTTGTATGAGTCGGCGGCAGAGCGAGCGGCTCACAATCAGAAGGTTGCGAGTTCGAATCCTGGCTGGGGGTTGACTCAGCCCATCATCCTTGCGGGGTCAACAAAATATATACCACTTCGTGGGGAAGTCACCAGTGGTATTGAGAAACTTGCCCCCCGACTTAGGGACGTGGAAATTCCACCACTGGCTCAGGTCTCCAAACGGGAAATGAGCACCGCCTCGAAGCTCCGTTGAGCAGCGGGAGACTCCTTGAGTAGTGGGAAGAGGCCGCGTGGACGAGCGAGTTGAGAGCCATCGCAGCTGGACTGGGGCCTGTAGCACCGCCACCCTCCACGGCTCGCAATGGCACTGCTGGGGACAGCGTAGCCCCCGTGGGTACAAAATAAACTCCTGACACGGGCAAGCACGCGCCCAGGATAACCTTATTTGGGCATTATCATCACGTATCACCGAACCAATGTTATCATAATTTAGTATAACACGTAGAAGGCTTTCGCGACCAATATTATTCATAATAAAGGTTTTTGGGTTAGATCGCGTTATTTCTAAATGTGTCGTAACCCTCCACCACCCACACGGCCAATCAGCAAAAAAGTGTCACCTTGACCAAAGACAATTAGTTCACTACTTTAGCCCACGACGTGTCGCTGGTAATTACATTCTGGCGAATTGCCCGATGATGCTGGATGTAATTACCAGCGAAACGTCACAGTACTCAAACTGTAAATGTTGTGGATTCACTCTTCAACACACCTGTGGGCTAAAGTAGTGAACTAAGTGTCTTTTGTCAACGTGACACTTTTTTGCTGATTGGCCGTGTCGGGTGGTGGAGGGTTACGACACATTTAGAAATAACGCGATCTAACCCAAAAACCTTTATTATGAATATCATAATTGAGTTCAAAACATTTCCCGGACCCCATTCTATTTGCTCTGCGCTGCCCGGCGTGCGTGCGAGAGAACCGGGTTCGGGCAGTCCGCCCTGGCAGACGCCCCCCGCCCAGGTGATGGGACTCGGCGCGCTTTGTTGAAAAGTCACACGGAATGAACGCGCGGCAGAGCACGCTCTCGGTTCTCTGTCGCGCCCTGCACAATGGGCGGGTCAGGGCGCGTTTGGCAATGGAAGAGTGAATAGACAAAACCCCGAATCTTGGACGGATACGATCACAAACCTCAGCGTACAACTTTGTTCCAACACATTGGGGTTGGCTCTAAACTTTGTCCATGATTTTCGTGAAAACCATGTAGCCACCCCTATTCTTTATAGAATTTGAGTCCCACACCATTTGGAATCCTTGATCGATACCAGGCACATATTTTAGAAGTTGCGTTTCGTGTCAGTGCACAGGTCTGAAAGATGATGTAATGCCCAGCTGCCTACGTTACGACAGTTTCTAGAACACAAACGTGCATTTGTCAAACTTATAACTTCAAACAGAAACCCCGTGTACAAAAAAAACCCTGTTGTGCACCGGCACCTATCTGGGGCCAGTCGGTGAGTCACAGCGGGATTTGGACTGGGCACGGCAGCGACTCGCAGGGATGGCCCGAGACGAGCAGCCAGCGACTGGCGCCCTGGTGAGCCATGCAAAACCCCAAGGGCAGATCGAGACTGAGGTTTTTGGTAAACTGGGAAACATTTTGCCACTATTTTCCGTTTAATGTTTGTTCAGCGTATTTTTTTTTTAAAACAGGGGCATAATTATTCGTTTGGTCCACCCGTCTGTCCAACCAATACATTCTCGGAAATGTTGAGAAAGTAATGATAATCTATATTCCATCTGTACGCGCACGGGAATTGAAATAATGACATGTTCATTATTGAAAAAATATTTCTTCGAATTTGGTGCCCCACTTAACTTGGCGACCCAGGTGACCTCCGAGTTCGTCTCCATGGGCGGGCCGCCCCTGGCAGGGAGGGCCTTGAACCGCAAGGTCACAGCCCACGTCGCGATCTCAGCCGTTGTCATCTCGAAAGTGTCGCCGGAGCACAGGGGAAACCGCGTGTACTACCACGTGGCCTGGCGATGACTGCCCTCTCGTTCTTTACAGTAACTTTTAATAAAATGTTTATGTTTGCTAAGCATCTATGAAAAATATAACATAAAGTTATCGGTCGGTCTCTGCTCGTTACACGAACATTTTCTCGTTTTGCGAGCACATTGGTCATTTAAAATTGCTCTGAGCGAATTCTCTCTCGTCAGAACGCTCGTTACGCCAGAGACGCATGTCCAGTCCTTGTGAGGAATCTGGTGCCTATGCTGCCCCCTACAGGGAGCTTCAAGGTATAGCGTGGGTGCAACGTGCACGTCTCGTTATGGTGGCATTGTGCCACCCCAATAGCAACTGTGGCGCAGCTATCGAGCGTGCAGGCGATACAATTTCACGGGCACCCCATGGGCCAGAGGTGGCCAGGCACCGCGCTACATCGAGGGGAGGGGGAAATTGGATGGAGGCCAAATTTTATCCCTTGCCCCAAGGCCCTTGCCACGTTTTTTGCGCCAATGCTGTGGTGGTGGCGTCACAGCTCTCCGTTATCTCCGTGGCCGTTCAGTGATGGCGTTGGTGAATCCCGTGGCCACGCGCTCTCCCAAGAGGCGTCTCACGAGTTTGCTGATTGCTTGAGCACCGAGTGGGGAAATTAGTTGTCTGTCTTGCACACGTCTAGGCCACTGGCAACGCACGTCCAGACCGTTCAGCCAGGAAATTACTTCAGTTGGGTAGTGGATTGCTTTAATGCCTCTATTACATGTTTCCACAGACGTTCACGAAGGGGTCGACGTTATTTCCACAATCACACATGGGGCTTTCTTGGAATTTCCACTTGCGAAGGCCATGTGCGGATCCGCCGTGAACTGCGTGGCCTCGATTCTAATTTGGACGACCATTGATTCTGAGGTAGATTAAATCCCGGAGATTCTTGAGTGAGATCAGTGATCAGAACTGCTTCGGGATGCTGGGGTTTGCCAAGCATCCGTTGCCATTTCTCTGAATTGCAACACATTCCAAGGGATGTGGTCAAAAACTGCACGATTTCAGGTGGTTCAGGTTTCGCAGATCTGCTTGGATAGGCAGATTTGTAGGAGCATCTAAAGGGTTAGGGTTTTATGATTGGTCATGTAAGCGGGTCAGGATGCTCAAGTGTTTGCTGTTGTGTACTGCTGCTTGTTGATATTGCTCAGCGCGCTGTCACCACACCGCCACGAACGTGCACGTGATGGGCCCTGGCCTTGTAAAACGAGTCAACGTTTCATTAAATCCGCCGTCAATCTTTGCGGAGCGGTGCAGATCGCCGCGCAGAAGCGGCCCCCTTGAGAGCTCTCCTCCTCTCCTCACCGCCTCCACATGCCACGAGTTCAGGCCAAACCTTTGGTGGGAAAATGCAGCCCCATCGTGCACCATTACAGCTCCGATACTCGTGCTAAACCCAAAACATTCCTTGGTGGTCATCAGCCGTGATCAATCCGCTGCTGGATGAAGACCTCCCCAAGGCATCACCATGCCGGACAGTTCTGCAAGGCAAAAATTCACCTGGCTCCTGCACACGAGATGTCATCGCCACGCGATAGACGCTCTCGGGCGTCACTCCTTTGGCTGCAACTGTCACGAGTCTCAACCACCGGCCACCATTCTTTCGAGCGACATCCATTGCGATGGAGCAATGCCAATCGCATCAGCAGCATTATTGCGGATTTGGGAATGCAGGATCAACGAAGATGGCGACATGGGGAGGCCTAAATCCAGCAGTGAATCGATCACGGATGGCGACCCGAATACAAAACACCCCCGGGGTATTCACCCTCCCTGCACGACTTGGTGAATTGGCGCAATTCAGGCTCAGGGTTCAGGAATTTATTTATCGTTTATACCGCCACAGCTGTACCATCTGCTTTATAAAATAGTTTGGCATATGGCATTGCCATCTTTTGTCGGTGTAACGTGCGAGTGTAGCCCACTCCCCCTTTCTTGAGAGCTCTCAAACTTTAGCTGCACCTCCAGAACATCAAGAGACCGACAAGACTTGAGGTTTCTGGTGCAAAGCCCCTCATCGAGGTGGGATCCTAAAACCAGCTCCTTTGTACGGGATTTTGTCTCCGTGGGAGTGTGTGGTTGGTAACATACATCTTATCGTCCAGGGCATTAGCCTAAAGGAAAATCATTCACAAATCGATTGTATTCTTACACGCATTATGTTCAATGCACGCATTTGCACATTTCATTTTATTTGAATCACGAGGCTACTTTGGAAGGACCTAGCAAGGGTCTGGTGCCGAGCACACTCTTCAACAAAAGCAAAGTGCTGTTAGCGAGTAGTACATATGAAGGCCGGAATGGAACACGAGTGGGTGGGTGGCCAGCACCACGCCCTGTCCGCCTTTGTCTTCCCACACAACACCAGGAACGTTTTCGAGGTCGAGTCGACCCCGGACCGGTTCAGATAATTGTCACTGGTATTGCCGTGAGCGAGAATCGAACGAGTCTCTGCCGGGTTCGTAGTGTAGTGCGCTAACCGCGAGACCACCGCTCCCCACCGCACGATCGCTCTGCAAGGGCCACTTCACCACATACAACAGCATATTCTTTATTCCAAAACAGACCATGGTACACGAAGCAGAACATTTCAGTCTGGAATTACTTTAACAGATAATAATAACAATAAACAGAATCACCTATGTGAATGTAACTAAGTAAGCTAATGTGCTACCTCACACTAGTTATAATTATGTGCATTGAGCCACACCTGCTGCCTAATTGACAAAATTGGCTTAATTGGGTAGAACAAAATTAGTTAAACCAAACACCGATCCCTTTTCCCAACAATTACACCGGGAGTGCTTAATGAGCCACAGCACTACTTAATAAACCAGACGCAGAGGTCACAGTACCTTAGACAATTACAAAATCATCATTCAACATTTTTTTTTTAGTTTTCAAAAGACTTCGCAATCTAAAATACAAATGCTCAACGTGCTGAGAAGGCAACCTCTTGTATTGTGTTCTAGCTTTGGCAGGTGCACGTAATAACAGTAGCAACAGACGGACATTACTTCAAAACGCACTGGTGCGAGATTCTGGCTGCCAAACGCACGGGACAAAGACGGCCACAGTGCTGGGGGATCACGATGGAGCGACAGCCCACCCATTAGTCATGTCACAAGTATAGCCCCACCACACAGCGTGCAGCAGCAGCACGCTAGCAGGAAGACCTCCGGAAACGCCGCTCAAGCGCAATCACCTGCCGTCGCTCGCGATGTCCGCGACGACAGAGCAAGCTGCCGCGCTCGCACTGTGTCCGAATCACGTCCAATCAATCTTAGTTACGCCGTGGATTCAAAACGAACATTGTGGATATGCTTGAGAGAGGACTAACCTGAGGTTTTACACCACAGTGCGCAGGCACAAAGGCTTCTAAACACACCTAGTGGGGAGCACCACAGCCTGGCTGCACTTAAAACAGGAAGGCAATAGGGCCAGAGATCTGTGCTTCATAAACAAGGGGCACCAAACTCAGCAAAGGGTGATCTCATGAAACCTAGCAGAATCCCTACTGATCCCCGATAATTGTTCATTTTCAATCGTTAACAATTCATTGGAATTAATTTATACAAAGCCGACTCGATTAACCGCACTTCAATCAGTCTCAAACAATGCTGCTGGCATGTGCACTGATGAACTTATTTCTATTGTGAGGTTGGGGTCCCATCACATTTGATCAATTTATTCCGAAGCCTTGCACTCTCCCATCTCACCGCAACACCCTCCCCTCCTTCCTCACCGCCAAATCATCTCCGTGTCCAAAACTGGCTTGACAGAATTAGTTTGTATTAATAGCGCCCAATGCGATCCGGTTAACGTCCAATTACCTTGACAATCAATCATCGGCAAAGGGTCGCCCGTTTCCCAACAAATGCGGTTAATCGAGTCCACCGTTGCGTCCGGGGAAACTCTCAAAAGGTATCCAGATTCTGCCACGTGGTCACGAGGCCGGGTCCCGTGAGCCTGTGCCCCCCTCCCGGCGCACGGGGAGCGGCTGAGACTAGAGCAGTCGGCAGCCCGACTTCTTCTTGCGCGTGCGGACCTGCAGCGCGGCGCGCGTCGCCAGCTCAAACACCTCGCGCACGCCCTCCTTGTTTTTGGCCGAGCACTCCATGTAGCCGAAGGCACCGATCTTGTTGGCCATGTCGCGCGCCTCCTCGGTCCTCACCGGTTCCTGTGCAACGAAGATGATCACGGTGGGGGGTGAGGGGGGTGGGGGCACTGCCCAATCACTCATCACACTATCATTACTGAGTCAAAGAAACCCTCTCTTCACACGATTATTACAGTTGGCTATGTTGGCACGGTGCGAAAGAAGTTCAAAATACAAAATACAAGCAATGAGGGGGGGGTTCGCATTCCCAATTCTGGCCGTGAGCGACTGGAGGAATTTCCACATTCTCATGGTGAGAATGTAGCCCACAGAGCCACTTTTGTTGACTTCCTCCAGAATGGTACTTGTATAGTAAATGACAGTGATTTAACTTCTTACTTGATTTCGTGGAGCACTTCCAACTATAACCCAAGCTTAATGCTACAAGACATTACTATAATACGTGTACCAAAATTCTAACCGGAACTTGAGCGGTTTTTTTTTCATGCAATTACCAGTAATGCAAAAAAGCGCACTATTTTAACCAAGCTAACTCTGAGCCGTGCCAGCTCAGGGTGCTGCCAGGGCACTGGGACCCCCTGAGGCAGCACCCCACGTAGCCCCACCTCACCTGCTTCATCTTGGCGAGCTCACGACGGGTGGCGTCGTCGTTCCGCAGGTCACGCTTGTTGCCCACCAGGATGATGGGCACGTTGGGGCAGAAGTGCTTCACCTCAGGGGTCCACTTCTCAGGGATGTTTTCTGAGCGCAGAAATGACGTCCACGAGACAAACGCACGTGAGGAAAGCGGCGCACGACGCAACGAGTTTCCTCTTCAGAGATTTTCAGAAAGAACCTTTGGCAACATTTTCAACGCATTTTAAAAGTTATGAACGCGTGGACAAGAAGAGCATGATAAAGGTGCCATAACCAATGCTCACATCTATATCCAAGCACTACGGCAGTGCTGCCGAGATTACTTAAAAAATCATGGTCAACCACACATGGATATACCAGCTGACCAAGTGGAGGGCACTCGTGCTCTCAACCCACTTATCCTTGACTGGACAAGTGCACTATCATACATTTGATAAATAATCTTCCCTTCAGGATCCCTACAAAGGAACTATCAGCCTCCTGGTCTTCCACATTTACGCTTACCAGGATCTGTGTGAACGCAAACCCTGGACCTGTTTCACCATCCTAGGGCAGTATAATAGGACAGTGCTCGGCAATGTTTTTACACGACAATATACTTTTGTTTTTATTACCAAATTCTGCCCAACCCAGCTGCGATAGTTAAAAGGTAATTGTTAGGATAGCCGTCTGTTCCTCTGTCCATTTCATGGTTTCACTTGGATTTACGTGTCTATCTCTTGTGTTCAATTGAATGTCTATGTGTCTATGTAATAAAATGTTAACTATCTTATTTTCAGTCTGTCTGCTTATAAATTTGAAAATACTGTGGCACAGCCGAGATATATATAATAGGGAGGGCATATCCAGTAAATAGTAGGGTGATTGAGATAGAATTAATGAAGGAATATACAGCAAGGCAACAGTGGTCTAAGGAACTGTGTAGAGATAAAAACAAATCTGGGGTACTACATAGAGCAGGAATATTTGTAAGATGGGTTTTCTTATCGAATTACACAAGAATAAGATTGAGTTTTCCGATGACACTACGTGCCATGACGATAACTGTTATGAGCACAATGTGTTGTGAACACATGGCCTGGAAAACAACGCATGTAATGGAACTATGTAGGAGGCTCACGAAGGATACTACTTGGTAGTTGAGGCCTTCCAGTAACAATGGAGCCCAGAGGAGCGACGTTCATAGCAACGAGAGGAGCGCCAGGCGGCTAAAACGCAGCAAGTTGGCACAGTGGGGGAGCACAGTTGGTGCATCTGCCAGACATCTCAGTCAGTCAACCCATGGTACCTGGGTCTGCTCCGTGACCTCCTGCCAGCGAGCCTTTGATATTTCATGTGGCCTCAAAGTGCACCTAGCGTGGCACAAGTGCTGTGGTGACGTCACCACCATTAAGTGAAGACCAGCGGTTGTTGTTGTGTATGTGTGAAGCTATGAGCTGGACTCTCACTACACGGCCACTGTGAGGGGGAAGGAGATTGGTACCCAGGCTGTCGGGACTGTCGATAGAGAAGCACATGAGGATGACGTCGGTGTCTGGATAAGAAAGAGGCCTCAGCCGGTCGTAGTCCTCCTGCCCAGCTGTGTCCCACAAAGCCAGCTCCACCTGCACACACGCACAGATAAATGGAAATGCGCGCACAAAGATAAAAAAAACATGAATACAGGCACTCACGAAGGATAACTCACAAAGGACACATGAAGAGAAACCCCCTGTAAAGCATTGCGGATTACAGCAGCAAGTGCTGCACATGACGCAGTGGTGGCAATGCCAACACCACTCTTGGCCATCTTTTTTTAACCCCATGCTGATGTTCGCACACCACGCCGAGTTGACCAAAGGCTCACAGGAGGTTCAAATACCACTAATCAATGATGCAGCATGCAATCCATTTTGCCACGATATACACACGTACAATTTTGTCACAGACAGGAGGTGGCTTCTGCCTGTTATAATGAACAGTAATGTTAAGCATCACTAGCGTAGACCAATGAATACAAACAAGAGTTACATCTTTAAATAACCATCACGAAGAGGATAGATTAAGTATCACATTTAAAGTTCCATTTAAAATACAGGTAGAGTCAGACGGTAGGCAATAGATGGTGTCACAATAATCAAACATGGGCAGGATGGTGGCTTCAGCTGTATTCATGTGGAGCCGAGGTGAAATACAAAAATTGTTTCTGTCTCAGAATCCAATTTAGATTCTCATCTTGCTGGCCATATGGTCGATGTGGGTTTTGAAAGACAGGTGAGTCCAGGATAAATGTCTCGATGTTTAAAGTTGTCAACCTGCTTGATACAGTGCAAGTCCAGATCCACAATTTGCAAAGGTGGCGAGACAGATTTTAGAGAATAATATAACTTTGGTCTTCATAGAGTCGAGGAACAGTTTCAGGGCGTTCAGTTGAAAATTGTCGAAGTCCTGTTTAAGATGCTGTTGTATATTTAGGTTCATGATTTTTTATGCGAGTGTGATTGTGTGTGCTATTATTTGTGCGAGTGTGTGAGGGTATGTATGCAACTGTTCAAGTGTGTTACTTTGCACAATGTCTTCATGTGTGCGTGTCCGAGAGAGAATGTATTGTGTGTATCTATCGTGTTGCCATGCCGGCCTTATTAGGTGCTCACTAACAATCTGTTAAAAGTCTATGTGGGGGATCTTTTCTTTGTCTATTTGTGACAGTACAGTGTCTGTGGGGAGAGTATTTGTATGCGATTTTGTACGTGTGCACGTGTGCATTTGGGCACGTGTGAGTGTTTGTGTGTGTGTGGCTGTGTGCGTGTCTCTGCGTGTGTACCACTACGGGACCGCTATGAACCTGACAAGGCCAACCCCAGTGACAATTATCTGAACCGGTTATGGCCCTCCCCTAGACCGACTCAGACTCAAATGGGTACCTGGTGTGATGTATAAACATCGCTACGAGGGACACAAAGACAGCTGGGTGTGGTGCTGGCCACCCACACCCCCTCGTTTGCCATGCTGGCCTTCACTGGTGCTACTCGCTATACGGGGAATCTTTTGTCTTTGGACGTGAATAATGGCGAACTTAAGGGTGGTGCCCACTTCGCCGCAATTTTCTCGTGGAATATGATGCAATCCCTTTGAGTAAATCCCGTAGGGAATCGGAAATGGGACAAATCTTGGCCTTTGAAATTAAGAGAAATGCACAAGCGAAGGTTCTCAGTCCCCATCATAGATCCAAAGGGTGCAATGTCTTGGTACCTTCAGTGCAGAAATTAAAACGATCAAATATAAACAAAAACAGACTGTACGAAGAACTCAATGCGGTTCGAGGTAACCAAATACACATGATTAAACATGACATAATGGGCAACAAAAGCACAATACAATCACACAGATAATTTATTTGGGCGTAACTACACTACAAGGTATTGAATTATCTTAAGGGAAATGCATTGGCAGTTATGCACAAGCGGAGGGGCGAAAAATACTTCACTGCCATCAGTACTGACCCTGCCTTAAAGGCTGTTTCACAAGGTAGCGTTAAGTACGACAGAGGGAGTTGTTTTCAATATGTTCTCATAAAAACAACAGACGGAGCACCGTCAACTCCAAACAAACAGCCTCCGCAGCGCCAGTACCGACAACTTGCCGGCCCCCTGTACGAGGTCATGAATTGTCATAAGTGACACGCATTCATCTATTCTAATTGTTTGTCCATTCGTTTTAGTACTTTACATATTTTCATAAACTATAAGTTATCAATTATCACACCGACAACTCGCTCTATAGTGAATGTAACAATAAAGTCGGATTGATACATGTCACATTTTTATATTTCTGCTTTAAGTCACATCACAAAACACCCACAAAGTACCACGATCACATACAAAGCTGGAATTCAGCGTAACAATTCACAAACTAAGAATGTGAACTGAAAACAACAGATTCTTACAGAAACAATTCACATTTCAAGTAAAAGAAGCTACTGCTTACTCTACAGGAACGTAAGTGTTTTTTATGCTTCAGTGCCCTCTCGTGAGTTAATATCGTACACGTTAATGGATCACAGCATGCTGGGTCACAAAGAGAGATGTTGGCACTAACGTTAAAAGTAGTTCCCTAGTCATGACAAGCATATTCCCCCAATAACCCCCATCCATTATGCCAGGTATGACTATTACGTGTAACAATGAATGGGATGTCATCATACTGTGGCCTCAGTCAAATCCAGGACATGGTACCATCCACACGCCCGAGTGCACACATGTCGCTATCCTCTCCAGTATGTCAACTAGTCAAGACACTGGAACATTCACAATGGACACTTCTTGCTTGTAGACCACAGCACAAACAGCACCACTCACCAAGCGGCACTACTCCCATACTGGCACCACTCACCAAGCGGCACCACTCCCATACTGACACCACTCCCATACTGACACCACTCCCATACTGACACCACTCACCAAGCGGCACCACTCCCATACTGACACCACTCCCATACTGACACCACTCCCATACTGACACCACTCCCATACTGACACCATTACACGTCTCTCCATGGAGAGGGGGTGGATGGATTAGGGTCGAAGTGACAGCGAGAGCTAGGGAAACCTGTTCTCGCTTTAGTGCTCAAAGACATTTATTCCTAACCAAATCACCGCCACTCCTGCTCATACTAACTATATAAATCGATACCAAATCATGAGGGAATCCCAATATTTCAGACAAAACTCGTGGTCTGACGGTGGTGGTGTCACCTGGGAGTGGTGGTGATTTAGCGAGAGAAGTGTGCATATTGATACCAACAATGAGATTGAGTAGTGTCCTTCATCTGATTCTTTGTGGAAACGTAATCAACTCTCCTCCATTGCGATTCACCGAGTATAAAATTCAGAGACAAGTAATCAAGAGGCAGTCAGGATAGGAAGTGGTCACTGACAACATGGAGAAGAGCAACCAGAACAAAAGCATGGATGTATAGGGCCACAAACTAAAACTGCGGAGGAGACAAAAGTGTGCATGTCGCTCGACTTGGTATTCCCCAGATTGTGCAGACCTGGGTGATTGAATAAGCATTGGAAAAGAATGCTGGCGAGCACGCTGGAAGGGTCAATAAGGGTTTTGACAATATTTATTTTGTTAGCTTTTGAGATGTGCTTATATGTAAATGCTATATAATCAACATTGTAATGTAAATTGTATCGTAGAGTTAATGTATAAGGAAAGGAAGGTGATAGAAGAGAGTTGAGGGACAACAGAAGGAAGGCGTAGTATAATATTATCATCATGAAAGATACATGTATAAAACATATTTAACCAGGAACAACCTTCATGGCTTTAAACACTGAATCCGGTAGAAGCCCAAGTATGCCGGGTGTGGCAACACTGCCGTGACCCAGCTCTCCGGGGGCGTGGGGGGCGGAGGGCGTGGAATTCATCACGTGCGTGACACCCCTCCTTCAGGATTCTGAATTGGTGAATTCCAGCGCAAGTAGGTTTGTTGACCTGTCTGCAGAGTCCGAATGTTATCCTCCGTGCATGCGTGGATTTTCTTGCGATACTCATATTTCCTCACGCTTGCAAATACACTCATTCAGAAATGGAACTGACTGACTGAACATCCCAATTATGGACCACAGGGATACCACATTGCAAAATCTCCCCCGGCTGCAAAATCTTGCCAGGACCCTTGTGAAAATTAATCTTGAGATTAAGTGAGGACACCCTGGATGAAAGACTGATATATTATTATGCAGTTATATACCTACAATTTAAATAGAATATCTGTGAATTGCCGACTCATGTGAACCTTATGGCGGGACCCCGGGGTCCCGAATAAACGCAAGCCGAAATCGCAATTTATTTATTTATTTTTGGTGACTGTCCCACTGCGCACATCAACGCCGCGACCCACCAGAAATCAATCCTCTCGTTCTTCACCAAGTACCCATCTTTGCCAAAATTTCCGTAATCAAAAACAAAACTTTGAAACTTTGATTAGTGCATCGTGTAGAGCTCGTCGAGAGGAATAGATTGCCGTATCATTCGCCTTCAACAGACATAAAATGACGTCGCAACGCAGTTTAGGCCAGAGCCGTGGGCTTATGGGACCATGGGTTCCCGCCATAAGGTTCATGTGAAGCCACAATAAAAAATTGCTGACATTAGAGATTAGCTGCAGCTGAAAATATAAAGATCTTAGTTTTTTTTAGACAACCCAGATATACGTGACCTTAGTGTCTTTCTGCAGGAAAACCACAAATATGGAGGTGGTAAAGTAACACGGTCGTGACAACGTAACAGAACATATATGTGCTACCTGGGCAATGTTGTCTTACAGCAACGTGCAATGACACTGTTCATCTACTTGAGCGCACGCAACTACTATACGATAACAATTAGCTGTTATAAAGAACTCTGAAAGCAGAGTAAGGCAGGCTGCCTTATGATAACAATGATAACAAAACTCAACGCCATTTCCTAACCAATCCAGCTCAAAATTAAGCCAACTGAAATAAATGTTTTAAATTTGCTTACAAATATTTCATTTTGCGAGCATTTTCGGGTATGACTTGGAATGGAGTTGCAGAGACAGGGAGTGCATTTGACCAAATGGAGGGGCGAGCTGAATAAAAGCACCTGTTTTGCCACGACAATTTAAACACTTTGTAAGTTTAACTTCTTTGAATAAGACCTCGACTTAGGGGTGTGGCCCGCGCAGGCATTACCCGCCAGAGTCTGCAGGATTCAGTATCGCAGACGTCATATCATTAAAGTAATTAATAAGAAGCCATCTATATATAAAAGGGAAATTTGTGAATGTGTGTCTGTTCGAAATGTTACCATACTTCCCGACATGCAACAAACTTTAAATTTGGCATGTGGGTACCTTCCAGACTGTACACAATGCAAAACGTCTCAAAATATACTTTTGTATTTTGGGGGGGGCGCAATAATGGATATATTTTGCACGGCAAGTGAGTGGTGACGTCACATCTGTGATGTCACCCGCATGCGGCAGCGTTACGTAGTGTGCCTGCTGACGTCACGCATCCCCCCCACCTCCTGCGTAGGCCGTGTATTAATCCAAGACAAGAATCCAAGTCTTGGGCGAAGCCGGGTAGTAAAGCTAGTACAGTATATAAGGGTGTGGAACAGTGAATTTCATATATTCTGAATGGATGTCACTTGATTGGTTTCAGATTATTTTGGCATAATCTGCAGTTAAACACCGACTTGTGTAGCTGGTAGAACAGTTCATTACATTTTGTCTTAACTTAAAAATGTATTAAGTATACAGCCAAGAGGCAATGTGGTCAGAGTGCTTGACTCATACTAGGAAGCTCAAACCATGGGAGTCAACTCAGCCTTTTATAATTGATACAACTTTGTAAAGTCCATGGTTGTCTTACAGAGAGATTAATCCCACCGTAATAATGTGGAATGTTCAATGCTTGTGAGATGAGTGCTGCCCCATTGCTAATTTCAGCAGGAAGACATTTACACGACTCATTTATACATTGAAAACGATCTAGTCGTTGCAGAGTAAATCACTCACACCAATGCTACAACTGCGACGCAAACATGCCGGCGCATTCTGGTGCTGGTGATGATGCATGGGTGGTGCTGGTTATCCAGGAATGAAATCTCCACCTGCCTATGGTGGGGCCCATCTAGTTATTCGGCACCAGCAGGCGGCGCTGGTTTTCCCAACCCTCACGGAACACTGGGCTGGCTGTATTGACTGCCCAGTGCATGCACCCGGCATCTTGCTGTTACTCAGCCTTCACGGCTGATGCGCTTGCACGTAAATTTATAGTACAATGCCCCCTGTTTCAAATGGGCAGTTAATTACGATCTAACAAGCAAGAAGAACTTATTTGTCTTTGTGTACGATAAGTCCCAAACCCTCTTAACCGCAACAATGTGGATGAAAATAATTGTGTACCGCATACAACCTCCATGAGTAGGAACGTGCTAAGGTAACAGCGTCTTATTCCCAAACATTACCTATAAAACTACTTCTCATAACTTTATCTTACAAGGTTAAAGAACAGAACACGATAAAATGTACCGTATTTTAAATATCAAGAATGCAATTTCACTAAAATAGCTAAATTGATCCCTTTTTTCCCATTACATTTTTCCAATCTTTTAAAGCTTTGTTTCTTGGTCTTAAATTTTCCCCTTGCATCAGCGCTGTTCTCCCTTCTGCCTCCTGACCCTCTCCTGCCCCTTCCACCATTCTCCACTTGCGTGGGGTTTCTCCTGGGATCGCCGGAATACGTCGAGGCTGTGCGAGACTTCCCCAGGAGCCTGCGGCTGTCATACCACAATGCGCTGGGCCTCTTCCGGTGTCTGCTGCAGGGAGACCGTGGCAGCGCAAGGGCCCTTCGGGAGCCTGCTGTGTAGCAGTTACATCAAAGGAGCGAGTCGCTCCCGAAGGTCCATCGGAGATGCATCACCAACATTTTGTACTTCAGCTTCTGTCGTGCCCCAGTTGTGAGTGGCCAAACATCCACCATTGTTTTCTTCCACTACATTGTCCCAAATGTTGTTGCTCGATTTTATTTTTCCCTTTGGGAGCTTAGTTCTCTTGTGAATAATAATCTAGTACTTTGAGATGCTTAGGAATTTTCAGTACTGAATGCACAAGTCGATGCTATAAATATTTATCCATATTTAGCAAGAGCCATAACACTTTATATTCTTTACCGAAAGAACCAAGAATATGAATCCCTGCAGTCACGAAAGCTTTAAATCAAAGCCATAACACTTTGTTCGCGAGGTCCGTGCTTGGGATGGTTGGCCAATGCCGTGTTATACATGTTTGTACGTGGGAGGAAATTGGATAGGAACACCAAGAGAAAACCCACGCAGGCAAGGAAACGACACTCAACATCACCCCATAAGCCAGACTACATGGATGGTATCCCTGTGCAGGGCTCAGAAGAGGCTAGGAAACAGACATTTCCAGTGGATTTTGGTACAGACATTGTCTATAGTGTTTGCTGACACACGGACCTGGCTCCATATGAACGAGTATGAATCCGTGACATTATTATAAGGTCACGGATGCAATGAGTACTATTTTCAAATACCTTCAGTGCAAGAATAAAAAAATGACGTAAAGACATGACATACAAACACTACATTTACATTAATACAACAAATGAGACAGAACAATTAACAAACAAGACCTTACAGAAAAAAAAGCATGTAAAAGCAAGACAAAAAAAGTAGATCCTTCAATGGAATCATGACCACAAATAGTGACAATTCCATCAAAGTGTGAGAGGTCAGAGTGCGATTCATTATACGCGATACAGCCAGTGTGACCCCACGGTGAGCCCACGTCCTCGGTCACGCACACAACACGTGGTCACACACACACGCGCATGCACGCCCGCTCAGCCAGCACCCTACCTGCTTGCCGTCCACCTCGATATCGGCCACGTAGTTCTCAAAGACGGTGGGCACGTACACCTCAGGGAACTGGTCCTTGCTGAAGACGATGAGCAGGCATGTCTTCCCGCACGCACCATCGCCCACGATCACCAGCTTCTTACGGATGGCAGCCATCCCTGCGACACGCACGCCCACCCAGCAAGCACATCAGCAATGTTGCAGTACACGCCCGCTCGCCGTCACCCACGTTTAAAGAGAGGAGCTCTACCTGTCTGTCATGAGGCCCAGTGGTAATGGACACCTGGCAGGAGCGACAAGGTGAGTGAGCTTTCAAAATTACAGTAACATAAAGGAGTCGGTTTCAGAATTGGGAATTTTGCCGAATGGTGCAGTCAGTGTTTTGTTATAAGTCTGTCAATCAATTTTACAAACAATACAGGATGGAATCAAATCGCAGTTTCCAATATTACTGAACTAGGTGAGAACCGTTAAATCCACCCCTCAGAATGGATACATTCTACGAGCCATTTGCAGAGCTGCCACTCCAATAAGTGTGGTCCTGTGTAGACGTGGGAAAGAAGGGACCACGGCACAGTCTCAGGAAGCCGTCTTTACGCGACCCATACTCTTTGGTTCTATTGGGTAAAGTCACGTAGGTGAAAATAAAATAACCCAATAAAAAATAAATAACCCAATAAAATAACCCAATAGAACCAAAGTGTATGGATCCTAGCAGTCACGAAAGCTTTAAATCTAGAATTTACGCGACCCCCCAGCGTCCGGAGGGGTCATGGAGGCTCACTGGGGTTGTGCGCTCACACCTGCTTCGGAGTTCTGGCAACCTTCTCTCTACGGCCGCCCTGGGAGGGCAGGTTCTATTTCCAGACAAGGGAGGCCAAATGACATCACGCTAAAGCGTGCAGTTAGCCGAGGGCGTGGAATTGGCAGCTGGTAAAGGAAAATACTGGCTGGAGAACACTCCGGGGCTGCTGTTGATGTGAGTGCAGGGTTTAACCAACACATAAATGAAACAAAATAAAAAAAATGAATTTCAATAGAACAAATACAATATAGAAATAACAAATATAACATCACATACAACACGATATCATGAAAACAAAAAATAAAACAAATAGCAGTCATTTCCTGCTAGATTAAGGCCTCCAAATGTCACCACCATCCCTCACGGATCTGTGATGCATAAATTCACATCACTGCTGCATGTCAGTTGATCTCATCGCCACAACAGTCATCCTCGGGTATATTCCCTCCCTTGGCTGTCATTCTGTTACCAATCTCGTTGAAGGCCCATCGACCCATCTAGCAATTGATCTTGCCCAAGCTCACTTACTCTTCTCAAGTCAGTATGCTGCCTCTGTTCTCGAATCCATGTGCTCCTCTCTGTCTGTGCATCGTTGCAATTACCAGCAAGCATATCGGTGCTTTTCCTGAGTACTTTTAGGTTTATCCTGCATTTTCTCTCTCGGTGAGGCATGTAACAGGAAGTAATGTGAACCAATTGAAAACGTTACCTCTTTCGACAAACAGGTAAGATGCTTTTCCAGTCTCAAATTAAATTTTTAAAAGTACTGCAAACCACACTGGCCGGCCTCTTTCATGCGTCGTTTATATGCTGGTCTGCCGCCTTTAATAATTACAACTCTTGTGTTTTCAATGGCGTCCTCCAACAATGATTCTCTCGTTCAGCAAACTTGTTGCAGATTACTTGTTTTTACTAATATTTATTTTGAGCTCAGCCTTTGAGCCTTTTTAAATACGTTCCTGAAGTTAACTTTCATCGGTTGCTATAATCACAACATACGACCCGATCAATAATTCATCCATGTATGTTTATGCCAGCTAAACTGTCGCTGCATGTAAAAAGTAACAACATACAAATCCGAAGATGAATCAGACAAGACAATTCTCACCAAGGCAACCCACAACCACAAACGTTTTGATATCACTCGCAGAAAAATGACTCATATAATTAGTGAGTCGGTAAGCGTCCACGTGGATAAACAAGAGCTTTCTATCTTGATTTGAAGCTTTCATGACTGCAGGAATCCATACTCGTTGGTTCTTTCGGTAAAGTCACGTAGGTAGACAAAATAGATCACGACGTTTCGATCGCAACGCAAGCGACCGTCTTCGCTTGCGATCAAAACGTCGTGCTTTCTAGCTGTGTAGGAACGCTGCGATGAGGTGCTGTTGCAACCTGAAAGCCTATGCACCACTACAGAGGAGACCCTGAGACTCACAGGTGGCCACGATCCGTGGCTACATGACAACACACACGGAGCAGCGTAGGCGTCTCCGCGTTACAACACGTGGCCCCTTGAAGAGAAGCGAGATCACGGCGGCACACTGCCTGCACCCGCGAGTAATACTTCAAGCAATAAAACTCTCTTATACCAATTACGTTTCTCTTCCACATTTTAATTAATCTATCATGTAGTTATATTAAAGTAAATAAATTGCACTTTTCGGCTTGCAACATTCTTGTAATTCAATATCAATAAACATTTATGACAAAGCAGTTATGAGAACACTGTGATAAGAGAAATACTGGCTGTCACACAACAGTACACCAATTGACAAAACATTAATTCCATTCCAAAACATAAGGTGCATCGTGACTTTCTGCTTGTAAAAACACAATGTGAGTGTTCATCAGAATGACGTTATCATAATTACATTAAAGTGGCGATGGAACTGAGAAATTATTCGAGGGTGCATGGCCACCCATTACAATGGAGCAGGAAATGAGCCCAAGTTGCAGCGGTTGTTAAGATGGATACAAGAGGTCTGTGTTGTAATAAAACCTTAGCCCCGTGGAGATACTGCTTTACTGGGTCGCACACTTTAATAACACAAGCGTCATTCAACATTTCAAGGGGGGAAAGGCGCATTTGAAAATGTATGAAAAGAAAATCTAAATATACAGTACTGTATATCTCATCACCACACTATTTGCTGCTCAGACTCAAACCCGAATTCTGAAAAACATGTTTTCATGGAAGGGTCAGCAGGGCTATTAACATTGAAGTGGAGGTTTAACTTTACAGTGCGGTAGCAGTGTTACAAAGTCTTAAGTTACAACTTCACTGTATAAATCACTTAGAAATTCCACATGTCTATGGTAGGGGTCAGTCTCCCCATATGACAACCACTGTAGAGCCGGGTCCTCATGTAGATGTATTATCATGGTACAGCAATCTACAAGCAGGAGTGCAACTGTTGCTGAAACGCAGCTGTAAACAACAAGCAGAAATGTGTAAAAAAGCAGCCTTTGTGCATTATCCAAAAACCATCAGCATTTCCTGAAGAAGTGCTTTGCTGTCCTCTTGTCTACGGCCACCATCAAAACATTTGGTGATGAGACGTGATAAGGACGAAATAGGTATACGGTTGTCCATCTCTGTGTCAATGTCATTTTATATTGGCCTAAGAGACCCAAAATACGAAATATGCTGATGTTTTGCATCATGCACAAAGGCTGTGTACTTTTCACAGGTTTCCGTCATCAGCACTACAGTATTATTCTATTACGATGGATTTTCTCGTCAATTAGAGATTTGATTAACGTAGTTGCAGCAGCGTAGGAGAAGCTATGTAGCTGCCGTAGTAGTGTAGCTGTAATAGTGTCGCTGTAGGGCTGTTAGCTGTAATAGTTTATTTTTTTATTTAAAGCTTTCGTGACTGCAGGGATTCATAGTCTTGGTTCTTTCGGTAAAGTCACGTAGAAGGGAAAGAACCAAGAATATGTAATAGTTTAGTTGAAGGAGTTGCACAGTAGTTGTGGTGCACATGTAAGCTGTAGGTGAAGTACTTGTACTATGCTCGGTGTTATATCACTGATGCAGAGCAGCGTTGCTGTAGTCGTATAGCTGGGGAAGTGTTGCCGTCGAATTAAGTACAGCTATCGTCCTGTACTTGTAACTATATCATTTGTGCTAGCCGTAGGAGTATAGTCGCGGCAGTGAGTGTAGCTGCGACAGGGCATTGCTGCCACCGTCGGCCACGGGCGAGTGAGGCTGTATTAATTATTCATCGCTGACATTTCCACATCAACTGCTCGCCCGCTCTTTGTCTGCCTCCCCTCCCCCTGAGCGGGTCCCAGCTGCCCCCCACCCCCCATCTCAGAGGTCCGACTCACGCCAGTGTCACCTCGTTACCCGCCACACACATCGGGTAACCCCCTCCGAGTTACAGGTTAACCCGGCTACCCGTCACACGCATCGGGTAACCCCCTCCGAGTTACAGGTTAACCCGGCTACCCGTCACACGCATCGGGTAACCCCCTCCGAGTTACAGGTTAACCCAGCTACCCGCCACACACATCGGGTAACCCCCTCCGAGTTACAGGTTAACCCGGCTACCCGCCACACACATCGGGTAACCTCCTCCGAGTTACAGGTTAACCCGGTTAGCCGTCACACACATCGGGTAACCCCCTCCGAGTTACAGGTTAACCCGGTTACCCGTCACACACATCGGGTAACCCCCTCCGAGTTACAGGTTAACCCCTCCCCCCAACTCGAAGTAACCTCACCCACCAGTGTTACCCTTTAGGCTACCACTCATCCCTGGCGAGTCTTTACAAGAGGTTACCCCACCACAGGGCTCCTCCTTATGAGGTTACCCCACCCTAGGATAACTCACTCAAGGTTACCACTCACAATGGGTCACCGTACTCCAAGTTACCTCACCCAAGTTTACTTTAGACCAGGTCACCCGTCACTAACTCCTGGTTACCTGCTAGCGATCTCACTCACCACAGCATTCTCATTAGTCGGACCACTCCAGGTTACCCGTCACAAAGGCAGCCATTAGCTCAAGGTTACCCTGGTATCGCACCACGTTACCCTACGTTACCTCATCACCCCTTACAGTCACCCCATAATACAGATTACCCAAGGTTACCTTACCCCAGATGACCCTTAATCTTGTTACCCATAACATTGTTACCCTCGCTCCGCACACCATGTAACCCGGTGACCCCGCGTTACCCGGTGACCCCGCGTTACCCGGTGACCCCGCGTTACCCGGTGACCCCGCGTTACCCGGTGACCCCGCGTTACCCGGTCACCCCGCGTTACCCGGTCACCCCGCGTTACCCGGTCACCCCGCGTTACCCGGTCACCCCGCGTTACCCGGTCACCCCGCGTTACCCGGTCACCCTGCGTCGTCGTTACCGCTGTTCGCGCACAGGGAAGTGAAGTCTCCGGACATTAAAAAGAACCCCCACTGCGCATGCGCGGCACCGCACACAGCGAGCCCGCTGAGTGGGGGGCCCGCGGGAAGGGAGCGGGCCCCCCCCCAACCCCCACTCTCCCACGGTGTGTGTAGGGCGCGGGGGGGCTCTCGCCCCCACATCCACCCCCGACTCCTCGCCCCCCCCCCCCCCCCCCGCTATCGTCGCCGCTCACCGTTCTCGTCGTGCGCGCTGTGCTCGGAGTCGTCGCGGTCGGCACAGCAGAGCCCGCAGCAGCCACACCCAGCCGCGCTCGCTACCCACAGTGCCACGCGCGCCGATACTTCCTGAGCGCGGGGCGGGGGGAAGGTGGAACGGGGGAGGCGGGGCGGGGGTACTTGTGACGTCACCCCTCCCCCAGACTCGCGCTCCGGCCCCGCCCCCGCGCCCCGCCCCGCATGGAGCTCAGCGGAGTTGAGCCCCTGCCTGGTGCCCGGATGGGTCACCGCAATCGCCTCAGGCGCTGTCGGCTTCGCAGGCGGCCCGGCACGCGGTGCACCAATCACGGTGCACCAATCACGGTGCACCAATCACTGTGCCCCAATCACTGTGCACCAATCACTGTGCACCAATCACTGTGCTGCTTTAAGACGCTTCCGCATCTTCAGCAGCCCGCAGTGACCTACAGCCAGGGCCATCTATGGGGGGTGCGAGGCCCTGCGCATATCCCAGTGCCCCCCCCCCAACACCTTAAACTAAACTGTGACGTCGAAGCGCGGGGCCCCCCAAAGCGCGGGGCCCCCCAAAGCGCGGGGCCCCCCAAAGCGCGGGGCCCCCCAAAGCGCGGGGCCCCCCAAAGCGCGGGGCCCCCCAAAGCGCGGGGCCCCCCAAAGCGCGGGGCCCCCCAAAGCGCGGGGCCCCCCAAAGCGCGGGGCCCCCCAAAGCGCGGGGCCCCCCAAAGCGCGGGGCCCCCCAAAGCGCGGGGCCCAGGGTTGTCGTCCCGCTTCAGTGTACCCAAGGGACGGCTCTGCTTATTACAACGCGGTGAAGTGTTGTCTTAAGGCCTCCAAACGTACGTGCCAGATGCTAGAACTATAACTCACTTGACAGTTGCACTATCTAGCTCAGAGATAGAATATTTAAATAAGGTTTTATACAATCTCCATAGCAAAAAAGCATATACCAGGAATCAAACGGTTCGTCGGCTGAAGAGGAATTTTCTTTCATATGCCGTCGTGACGTTAACTTGAAAATTCCTCACCGAGCCTCATTTTTTCAGGAGGATCCTGTCAAGTTTTCACAAGAGGGCGATATGGCTGCACTGCGGTCCCAATTGACAAATTGTGAGGTAAATGTTCAGCAGAGGATGTTGGCCAATACCAGTTAACAGTGTGATTTAGCGAAGGCGGGAAACAGAGATAATATACAAGCTCCACAGAGAAGCGTCTGAGTCGGGAATCTAACACAGACGCTTTTTGCTGCGAGGCACACGTTTTACCACCCTGCCTAACATCCTTTAACGAGCTCCAGTTGACCAAATTGAACCTCCGCAGCTATCCCCACCATCGGGCACCCACAATCCACGCGACAATTCCCACGCAGTACTGTGGCCGTGACGTGTCGTGTCGTGGGAATTATGTATAATTTTATAGAGTTCAATCTTAATGCTCACAAGCTGCCCACAAATCGTGTTAATAATCGGTTTAAATAAGTATTTTGTTCATTGGTCCACGTCACCCATGCATCCATTAGAGCTACATTATTCAGCGTTAAAAAGGATCGAGTCTTGAATGGTAACGCAAACCCGAATTGTGACATCGCCTGAGGTGGGAAATCGTCAAGCTCGTGGTTGTCCGTATGCGAGGTATTCACAATGAGTACCACGGAGCGCCCTGCTGCGTGTTAATAAAGTGTAGCTCGAGAGACACGTTGTTACCTTCCTGACACGATGCGAGACTCTCGCGAGGCGGGCAGCACAAGGATTGTGGTGTTGGAAACAGACACGAAGACAATGCCTGTGACCGATTCACCCCGAGTGCACCCGTCCCCGTCACATCTCAGAAGGTGGGCAGGAGTTGGTCCTGGATGGTGCTTGGATGGGCGACTGCCAAACGCACCAGGGCTCGCGATGTGCAACACCCGTTGTAAAAACTGTGCTTCTCGATTCCACGTTTCTCACTCTCACCAACTCACTGTGGAGTGTGGCAAAATACCCTGCATGGCTTGGGGAGGCCCCCAGCCAGCAGTGAATTGACAAAAGGAGTTGTACATGCACATACAGGACTCCCTACACCGCAGTCATGACATTCATTTATATAACTTTTCATTACAGTCATCTCCGAATGCACATTTCCATCTCGGGCGAGGGGTCAGGGACAAGGCAGCCGGCAGTCTGGATACTCGCTCGCACACCACCCGAGCGCCCGTTCTTATTTAGAAACACGTCTGCCCAACACCGGCCCTGCTGGGGTCGAGTACTGCATTGCAAAATAATCCACGGCGTTGTCTTGGCAATAGCTCTTACAAGTTCCTTTACAATCTACGCCTCTTAAGTCATGCACCTTTCATGCATTCTTCAGGGAAATCGGAACGAGACTTAATAGCTAAGCCTCTCTTGCGTTACCAAGTTCACAATCGCAGCCCTCTCACACAGTCACTCCAGTAGGAACGCATCGTTGCGTTTGCACTTTCAGCTGAATTTCTAGTGGCTTCTCAAACGGTGTTGTACCAAACTTGTACTGCTTGTGTAGATTTTACATGTCATGCTTTTGATCATTCCTCATTTAACGCCGCAAAATATTATGTAACTGGCTTACCCCTTGTCAGTGTTTTTTGTCGACTTCTTGCACGTCTTTGTTTACATTTGCTCATCACCTCACCCTTGTAATGCATCACCTTGCCAATTAGCGCATCTAGATGCCCATGTTATGACTACACCATGCAACAATATTACGTTACTATATTTTTTATTCTAGTCTTGCACAATTGCAAGCATGTTTTAAATTATAGGAATAGGTTTTACCCTTTTAACTGGCACAAAAACTGACACCTTTATTCAAGGCATCATGTTTGCAATAACCACAACACAAGCAGTCAAAATGCAAACAAAAAAGACAACTCTGATAATATGCACTGTCCTTGAATTTGATTGGTCCACACCCGAGACAGCTTTTCTTAGAGCCTAGTCTCCATTGGTGTTGGACCAGAAGACGCCAAAAGGCGTACAACTCAAAAACAGCGCACTATCAGAGTATTGAGGGCTCGGGGTGAGCATTTACATTATGATACCTCCTTTGCCAGAAACAAGATATAGGAATAGGTTTTACCCTTTTAACTGGCACAAAAACTCACAGCTTTATTCAAGGCATCATGTTTGCAATAACCACAACACAAGCAGTCAAAATGCAAACAAAAAAGACAACTCTGATAATAATATGCACTGTCCTTGAATTTGATTGGTCCACACCCGAGACAGCTTTTCTTAGAGCCTAGTCTCCATTGGTGTTGGACCAGATAGTGCGCTGTTTTTGAGTTGTACGCCTTTTGGCGTCTTCTGGTCCAACACCAATGGAGACTAGGCTCTAAGAAAAGCTGTCTCGGGTGTGGACCAATCAAATTCAAGGACAGTACATATTATTATCAGAGTTGTCTTTTTTGTTTGCATTTTGACTGCTTGTGTTGTGGTTATTGCAAACATGACGCCTTGAATAAAGGTGTGAGTTTTTGTGCCAGTTAAAAGGGTAAAACCTATTCCTATATCTTGTTTCTGGCAAAGGAGGTATCATGTTTTAAATTATTGTATGTTCTACATCTGTACACCTCCATCGCGTTCTCCACAGTCCTTGAAACAAACAAGCTGCCTTGCACGTCTCTCACCATCTAAAATTACTCAAGACTATCATACACACAAATGAAAATGCCATAGATTAAAAACCAAGACCAGTTTAAATTGTTAACTGGGAAAGCCTCAAGGAGTACACGACTGATTTTTTTATATATATGCACCACCGCCCTACAGGAAAGACTCCTCTAGGAGTCATTTTTGAGTGATCAAACAACTCAATGGCAAAGTCACAGGGTTAAAGGTGTGCATTTACTGGCAGCAAATGACGAATGTTTCAAGAAATGGACCTTCAGAGGCAAGGCAAACAACCAACTCATCTTGGAAATATTTTGCATTGTGGTGGCTCAACAATAAAATATGCAGAAAAAGTTGGCATAGTTTGCACAGATATTAATCTCTTAAAAATAAAGATTTGCTAACTGGTGCTGGGAGTGTTTGACAACACGCAGGTGAAAGGCCTTCCTCTTTGACGGGCAAATTCTTCTAGGCCACCCACACGAGAGGAAGACATACCCACACTACCCCATCGTGCCATCCATCAATAAGTACAATGGGCCAAAGAAACAGGCACCTATTAACGTCGTTAATGCTACAGAACTATACAAGCTTTTACTGTGATCAACTCAACTGTACGAGCGAAGCCATGCGATTTCTCTCAACGAGCACTGCCTTGTCCATTGGCCGTTCAATCAGGGTCGAATGGGTAATTTTACCGACACGATAATTTGGCTATCAGATTGACATTGTCAAGATCAACGCACACAGGGACCCATCACTACTAGGCCAAATGGCCGTGCTGGGGGGGACATCTGGACACCTTCACTCGTTTGCTGGTAATTTCTACAAGGCCGCATTCCATACGCCAGACAACGCAGAGTAGATTACTTCATGAAAGGTCACAAACACACCTACATAAATAAAGCTGCATTCATCTCACTAACCATTACTTGCATGAGAAACGATATCAAGACAGAGTAGCACTAAAAAAACACGAATGTGAAAAAAAACATTTGGAACTTTCTGCAAAGACTTTATGAAGCGCGATCTTAAAAAAACACTTGCGTGTCCCTTCAACTCATGGCAAAGTACCATCAGAACACAGCAGCAGAATAACCTATTTTAACATCTGCTGTTCACGTGTAATTCCATAGGAAAAGCGGGCATTTATTGATGTAGAATAAATAAAACTAATTAACCTTTTTAGAGTCACCACCCATGGTGTAGCCCAGCCAGAATGTCGAGTATGGAAAGTTTGTGCTCTGCGGGAGGGTGTGCGTGCGGGACGAGTCTCAGAACATGACGGGCTCTCGCTCTTCACTGAAGAGTCCGTCCAGCACCAGGTCCTTGGCCATGAGCTCCTCCTCCACAGTCTCCAGCGCCCACTTGTGCTCCGTGATTTCCAGGGCCTCCCACTCGGCCTGTGAGTGATGGCACGCGACAGCAATCACCGTGAGGGACTTGCGCCGTGTGCGCTACATGGAGGCTGTGGCCCGGGAGCTCCAGCGTACCAACGACAGAATCGTCCCGTGTGCCCATCGCCCAAACAAGTATGTGAAATGGATAAGAATCGTCTTGCTCTTGGGGCTAGGCCATTGCTACACAATGTTACTAGTACACGAGTTCTGGAAGATGACGGCACAAAAATTAAGTAATGCCTTAAAAAGGCCTTACACATTCTTGAATGAGCAGCCAAATTGAAATGGCATTTTAGTACAACGGTGACCAGGCTGATACAATAACCCTCCCCCCTACACTTGGACAACTGGGTTAATATTGATGCAAGAAAATGAACCCATGATCTTGTCATTGCAGGCTCTCTGTGTTCAGACATGGCGTTCCACAACAACTTTTGAACATATTTTGATTGAGAGAATGTAATAGCAATAAGACCTTGAATGCCTTGTTGGGGTCAGGGGGCATAGCCATGGCAGCACCAGACATCTGCTCCTGCATGATCCGGGCCTGGTCAGCAGCTGCACAACAAGACCATCATCATACATGTCAGTATCAAGACCATCATACATGCCAGTATCATCGTACACACCATTGATATACGTCACTATCATCACAGCACTATCATGATACGAAGATCTACACAAACATTACCATTACACACCAATGATGCACTTCACTATCACACACACCATCATTTTGTATAACACCATCACAGCACTAACCTAATTATAGATCATATACAAAAATAATATAACATACACCGATATTATTTACACCAACATCGTACCAATATGAGAATAGGTTTTTCACCTTTTATCTGGCAACAAAACAGTTGTTAAAACACCAAACGGAAACCTTTTAAGAGGAATCATGTCTGCATTAACCACAATACTTGTGGTCAAAATGCTAAAGAAAACACTGACAATATGCATTATTTTTTAAACGGATTGGTCCACACCAGAGACAGCTTTCTTTTGAGCCTCGTCTCAAACGGTGTTAGACCAGAGGACGCCAAAAGGCGTGATTCCAGGGCCTCCCACACACCAACATCATACATGGCAAAATGCTTCACGAATGCAGCCTCCTGTATTTTGTAGATGCTGTGTTCAGTGAGTGTTGTGTCCTGGGTTTAGTGTGCGCTGTCCTGTTTGTTGCATGCTGTGTCTGTGTTTATATCAGGGTTAATGTTCCGCCGTGTGCGTTCAGTAATTAGTGCGGTTGGCTGTGACCGTGTAGCGCTATAAGAGCGTTGTTCTGGCTCACTGGCATGCGCATGTTGTGAAAACGGTGGCAGCGTACCGTTGTCCTGTCCCAGGATGAGGGAGTACATGCTGCGTAGCCCAAACACGTTCAGGAAGTACCACGACGCTGAGCTCACCCTGCACACAGCCCAGCGCAATACGCCATCGTGTTAACAATGATTTATTTTGTTAGTGTCCTCTACGCCTGGGGAGCTCGGGACGATTTAAACGTGATAAGCAACTTACATCACATCTCAAACATTTGAAAGGGCAAGCACTCCATCTGAACACTTGAAGTATTAATATGAGTGATGTAACAGTGACGTGCAGGGTGTCACAATGACTAGATTATAACTTAGTCGATTTCCAATTAACGGAGCTGCAGATTTAGGCCAGACAGCCCATAACGCACAGACTAGGTACACAGACCACGTATGTGTTTGCAACAACTGTGTTTTGGGTTGCATAGTGAAAAGATGCTCGAGATCCATTATTTTTAGACTGCATTGTGCAACCAGGTAGAGTTGTGCTTGCCTGCATTGAGTCTAAAGCCAAACTAATTACTGGAGGTAAGGACACTGGCTGGCTCACTGCAGATCCAGCTGCATCATCAACCTGTCTCATCACTGGTCTCCGTTCTTCTACCATTTCCAATATTTTTTTCAAGCAGCCCTCGGACAGGGCGACTGCTACTGATCTGAAGAGGGGTAGTACAGTGCAGCGAGTGTGAAGCTGGCTACCGAAGAAGTCACGGAGATGGATTCCTTACCACGACGCGTCCAGCGACACCAACTCAATGCCGCGCTGCAGCATGGGCTTGAAGCGCAGCGTGAGCGGGAAGGGCACCTTTGCTGAGGAAGTGAAGACACGTACACATGGGTGCAAGCACACACAGTTGCTCACACACACATACATCATTACTAAACAGCCACCGTTTTTGTCAGCTCACACCTGGATGAGGGCCACTCCATACTGTGCAGGTTGTGGAGTTTATATATTTATTATTTTAACTGGTGCGATTTCCAGTACTCACAGCTCGTTATACCAATCATGTCGTGCTGGCCTTACTGGTCACAAAGCCGGAGAAGGTCCAGTTGATCCAGCCACCGATGACAATCATGGGCAACACGTTCGTGAAGTTTCCCTTCATCATGTCGGTCAGCATGCTTGGGTCTGCTCAAGACACATACGGTGGGTTACACGTACGCACAGCCATGCGCAGCACATGTATTATTTTGTTTCAAATGGAAGTGTAAATACAGCATGCGTTGCAAACCTACCAATTTAAGTGGTAGGCTGACAATGTTTAAATCCGCTTACCGAATTCCGATTTTAAAAGACTGTTTACTAATATAAAAGATCTACAATGCGGGATCGTCCTTGAAATTCGGCATGCGGTGAAAACAATTGGCAGCCTCCTGCTTAAATCAGTCGGGTTGTCAAGTACATATCAGTGGTTAATAAGTAAATATTTGACCAACACCAATATCTAAATGAGGGACAACACCAATAGGATATTCTCTCATTTGAATACAAAGTATATAAACATTTCGTTAATGACGGCTATTGGGGAATGATGCTTGAGTTGTGTTAAGCATAAATCATTAGGGTATCCTCACAAAATGTGTAACACTCGGAGTAAGGAAGCACTCAGAATACCTGTCATAGGATTTTTAGGGATGGTCTTCCTCTTGGTTTTCTTAAAAAAGCCTGTTTCGGTGTCATTGAAGTAGTGCTTGCGATTGATGAACGACTGTAAGGAAGACATGACATTCACGCGCTTTAAATGCTGAAAGGAAATAACAAAAACATAAGCATTAATAATACTGAGCAAGTGTGTGCTCATTAATAATACTGAGTGTGTGCTCATTAATAATACTGAGTAAGTGTGTGCTCATTAATAATACTGAGTGTGTGCTCATTAATAATACTGAGTGTGTGCTCATTAATAATACTGAGTGAGTGTGTGCTCATTAATAATACTGAGTGTGTGCTCATTAATAATACTGAGTGTGTGCTCATTAATAATACTGAGTGTGTGCTCATTAATAATACTGAGCAAGTGTGTGCTCATTAATAATCATGAGTGTGTGCTCATTAATAATACTGAGTAAGTGTGTGCTCATTAATAATACTGAGTGAGTGTGTGCTCATTAATAATACTGAGCAAGTGTGTGCTCATTAATAATAATGAGTGTGTGCTCATTAATAATACTGAGTGTGTGCTCATTATTAATACTGAGTAAGTGTGTGTGCTCATTAATAATACTGAGTAAGTGTGTGCTCATTAATAATACTGAGTAAGTGTGTGTGCTCATTAATAATACTGAGTAAGTGTGTGCTCATTAATAATACTGAGTGAGTGTGTGTGCTCATTAATAATACTGAGTGAGTGTGTGCTCATTAATAATACTGAGTGTGTGCTCATTAATAATACTGAGTAAGTGTGTGCTCATTAATAATACTGAGTAAGTGTGTGCTCATTAATAATACTGAGTAAGTGTGTGCTCATTAATAATACTGAGTAGTGTGTGCCCATTAATAATACTGAGTGTGTGCTCACTAATAATACTGAGTGTGCTCATTAATAATACTGAGTAAGTGTGTGCTCATTAATAATACTGAGTGTGTGCTCATTAATAATACTGAGTAGTGTGTGCTCATTAATAATACCGAGTAGTGTGTGCCCATTAACAATACCGAGTAAGTGTGTGTGCTCATTAATAATACTGAGTGTGTGCTCATTAATAATACTGAGTGTGTGCTCATTAATAATAGTGAGTAAGTGTGTGCTCATTAATAATACTGAGCAAGTGTGTGCTCATTAATAATACTGAGTAAGTGTGTGCTCATTAATAATACTGAGTAAGTGTGTGCTCATTAATAATAGTGAGTAAGTGTGTGCTCATTAATCACTGAGTAAGTGTGTGCTCATTAATAATACTGAGCAAGTGTGTGCTCATTAATAATACTGAGTGTGTGCTCATTAATAATAGTGAGTAAGTGTGTGCTCATTAATCACTGAGTAAGTGTGTGCTCATTAATAATACTGAGTAAGTGTGTGCTCATTAATAATACTGAGTGTGTGCTCATTAATAATACTGAGTGTGTGCTCATTAATAATACTGAGTGTGTGCTCATTAATAATACTGAGTGAGTGTGTGCTCATTAATAATACTGAGTGTGTGCTCATTAATAATACTGAGTGTGTGCTCATTAATAATACTGAGCAAGTGTGTGCTCATTAATAATACTGAGTGTGTGCTCATTAATAATACTGAGTGTGTGCTCATTAATAATACTGAGTGAGTGTGTGCTCATTAATAATACTGAGTGTGTGCTCATTAATAATACTGAGTGTGTGCTCATTAATAATACTGAGTGTGTGCTCATTAATAATACTGAGCAAGTGTGTGCTCATTAATAATCATGAGTAAGTGTGTGCTCATTAATAATACTGAGTAAGTGTGTGCTCATTAATAATACTGAGTGAGTGTGTGCTCATTAATAATACTGAGCAAGTGTGTGCTCATTAATAATAATGAGTGTGTGCTCATTAATAATACTGAGTGTGTGCTCATTATTAATACTGAGTAAGTGTGTGTGCTCATTAATAATACTGAGTAAGTGTGTGCTCATTAATAATACTGAGTAAGTGTGTGTGCTCATTAATAATACTGAGTAAGTGTGTGCTCATTAATAATACTGAGTGAGTGTGTGTGCTCATTAATAATACTGAGTGAGTGTGTGCTCATTAATAATACTGAGTGTGTGCTCATTAATAATACTGAGTAAGTGTGTGCTCATTAATAATACTGAGTAAGTGTGTGCTCATTAATAATACTGAGTAAGTGTGTGCTCATTAATAATACTGAGTAGTGTGTGCCCATTAATAATACTGAGTGTGCTCATTAATAATACTGAGTAAGTGTGTGCTCATTAATAATACTGAGTGTGTGCTCATTAATAATACTGAGTGTGTGCTCATTAATAATACTGAGTAGTGTGTGCCCATTAATAATACCGAGTAAGTGTGTGTGCTCATTAATAATACTGAGTGTGTGCTCATTAATAATACTGAGTGTGTGCTCATTAATAATAGTGAGTAAGTGTGTGCTCATTAATAATACTGAGCAAGTGTGTGCTCATTAATAATACTGAGTAAGTGTGTGCTCATTAATAATACTGAGTAAGTGTGTGCTCATTAATAATAGTGAGTAAGTGTGTGCTCATTAATCACTGAGTAAATGTGTGCTCATTAATAATACTGAGCAAGTGTGTGCTCATTAATAATACTGAGTAAGTGTGTGCTCATTAATAATAGTGAGTAAGTGTGTGCTCATTAATCACTGAGTAAGTGTGTGCTCATTAATAATACTGAGTAAGTGTGTGCTCATTAATAATACTGAGTAAGTGTGTGCGCATTAATAATACTGAGTAAGTGTGTGTGCTCATTAATAATACTGAGTGTGTGCTCATTAATAATACTGAGTGTGTGCATATTAATAATACTGAGTGTGTGCACATTAATAATACTGAGCGAGTGTGTGCTCATTAATAATAGTGAGTAAGTGTGTGCTCATTAATCATACTGAGTGTGTGCTCATTAATAATACTGAGTGTGTGCTCATTAATAATACTGAGTGTGTGCTCATTAATAATACTGAGTGTGTGCACATTAATAATACTGAGTGAGTGTGTGCTCATTAATAATACTGAGTGTGTGCTCATGCATGCAGGTGCCAAGTTCCATTTCAGGACATACACTCAAGTGGCAATAGTAATCTGAACTTGCTCTGAGCCATAATAGAGGGTTTTAGTTAGATCGTGTTACCCAGGTCAACTCGGTCTATAAGTGATTACCGGTGTGGTCAACATAAGCTGTGGGTGTACCAAGTTGACCAGACGTGCATGTCTGGTCGGGTCTATCAAAAAAGATCAGGAGCTAAAAACACACACATTGTAACTAGAATTGGCCAACGATCCCAATTCTCAAACATTACCTGCAACTTACTCCATTGGAATTACATGTAACAATATTGCTCTGAGTGGAAAAAACTTAACAAGACCCTCCTAAAAAGTGTCTTCAGACTCAATGAGGCTTTCCTGGATATAAAGCAAGCGTAATAATACCTCGTTAAGGCCGTTTTTGCTTTGACCACGGGGAACCGGGCTCTGCTGGCCCAGGAATGGCCCAGGAAAAGCCTTAGGTCAATATCACGGGTTCCCACATCCAATGCCCAAAAAGGCTTTGGCACTCCCACTCCATTCAACCCTCGCCCTCACCTTCCATACCCTCTGTACCATTCGTGATCAGGAAACAATCTTAAAAAGGTTTGGTGCTTCATCATGTTCAACATAGGTGTGGGCAGGACCGATTATTTTAAATTTAAGATGTATCAATTTTGTAGTTTTCCACCATGTGTCCTAAAACTTTAACATGGCCAGAAAACTTAACTTAGCAACTGGGGTCTGTGTGTACGAGTCTCGTTTGCATGTTGACTCTGTGATGCCACGACTGGTTCCGGGGTTGGCCCAGCTGAAAGTGCGAAATTTGTTTTATAGGGGTAGCCTGGGGGCTCGGTTCTCCGATGCAATGTGAGCCACCTGCCTGAGCGAGGGTGCACGGGAACTACGTGCTGAGAACAATGAGCCAACAGTCACAATTGCACTTTGTGCTGTCTAAACATCACCTATTGGGCATATTACTCTTCTTCGTTTTCAGCCTGGATGCACTTACAGTGTTAGAATACAGACATTATAATGCATGCAACAACAGTCTAAACATGAGACTGTTCTCGTACTACACCTGTATATGCAGATGGCAGAGTCCCACATGTTGACCATCCACTTACTGGGATATGTATTGCATGTGCACGAGTGTGCATTTGTGCTCTTGCCGATACAAGCAGGTAAGCGCGCACCTGTGTATTGCGGTGCAACAAAGGCACGTGCACAAGTGTGCGTGCAGGAGTGGGGAGCGATAGTGTAGCGGTTAGCGCGCTGCGCTATGAACCTGGCGACCCGGGTTCGATTCCTGCTCACGGCCAACACCAGTGACGATTATCTGAACCGGTCCCGGGCCTCCCCTAGGTCGACTCAGCCTCAAATGAGTACCTGGTGCGGTGTGTAAACATCGCCACTAGGGAGACAAAGGCGGTCGGGCGTGGTGCTGGCCACCCACCCCCTCGTGTACCGTTCCGGCCTTCATAGGTGCTCGCTAACAGCACTTGCCCCTACAGTCTGGTACAGGCTATATGGGGGATCTTTGTCTTTTATCTTTGTGCAGGAGTGCAAGTGTGGGATCCGGCATGGGCTGGCATGTGCACGTTACCTGCCGTGGGATGTACTTCCCATGCTCTCTGAGTATTCTGCTTCGTAACAGGACTTGACTGGATGAAAAACACAAAAACACATGCATAAATTGCACTATCAATAAACTAGGCCCAACAGCCTTATTTTTACAATTCTTTAGGAAAGTACTGTGTAATAATCTTCTCTGTCTTATCGTTGCAGGTGGTTGACTTGTGAAGGTCAAGAGGACAAGTTAAACATTAAACACTCAGTGGACTGAGGAAACAGTATTATTGTCAGCTAATAAAAACTCTATTCCTACTTAACTCTCTCCAGACATCTACGTCTCAATAATTAATTAACTATTTTAATGGCATAAATAGAAAAGAGTGAAGGACAAGTACTGCATACCACCAAAGTATTCTAATGATAGGGTAGTAAATAATTAAGAACAGGGTTGCATTAGGGACAGTGTTAATAATATTACTTGGATTAGGATGTTTGAGGTATTATTACATCAGAAATGTGTCGTTAATGGATATGTCTGAGGCCAGGAATAAGGTTAATGGTAGGGGTGAAGTTGGTAGGGGTGACGTTGGTAGGGGTGACGTTGCAATGTGGAAGCGAGGAGAAAAGAAGACAACTCCATAAGAGGTCGCGAAAGCTTGTGTGTTAAAAAGACAACTCCATACAGTTAATCCGTGGTAACCTTTTCTATCACAGGAGAGTTAACAGTAATTATTGCGTATTTCAGTTGTCCAGCTATTAAGGCTCTGAAACCACTACAAGTTAGAGGCAATTCAAATTAATAAAATAAAAAAAACACAATAATATTCTCACGACGTTTCGGCCACAACACAAGCGGCCGAAACGTCGTGAGAATATTATTGTGTTATTTTATTTGATCAATTTATTATTGTATTCTCATTCTACGTGACTTTACCGAAAGAACCAAAGAAGATGAATCCTTGCAGTCACGAAAGCTTTAAATCGAAATTCAAATTAACTTCGGAATGAGGCCAACGCGCTCAACATCACAATGGGTGACTTCAATGGCAGGTGAAAGGTGCACAAAAGCAAGGAACACGGTTATGAAAGGGGCATTGCAACGTTGAAACAGCTCTTTAAAAAAAGGATAGAAAATGTGATAGAAAATGGTCATGGAGGAACCCAAACCGAGAAGTGAGAAATGAAATGTAGTGTACTGTAGTATAAAGCGCTTGCTTCTCAGGAACAGTAAGTCCAAGAGGTGCGTTTCTGTCTTCGGAAAATCCAACGCAGGAAATGCAACATTGCCAAATACAGCGCAAATCAGATTTCAAGCAAGAACACAAGTTGACATCTAGCGGCACATTCAAACCTCGACAGATAAGCAACATTGCAGGACACCGCAGGCGTCACGAGTCTCACGCGAGACTGGAGTACCCTCGTGTGAGACTACAAAGGACCCCGCAGGCGTCACGAGCCTCACGTGAGACTGGAGTACCCTCGTGTGAGACTACAGAGGACATCGCAGGCGTCACGCGAGACTGGAGTACCCTCGTGTGAGACTACAGAACACATCGCAGGCGCCACGAGTCTCACGTGAGACTGGAGTACCCTCTTGTGAGACTACAGAGGACCCCGCAGGCGTCACGAGTCTCACGTGAGACTGGAGTACCCTAGTGTGAGACTACAGAGGACATCGCAGGCGCCACGAGTCTCACGCGAGACTGGAGTACCCTCTTGTGAGACTACAGAGGACCCCGCAGGAGGCCCGCAAGAGACCGCGCGAGTCTCGCCAGGGACAAGAGGCGACTCGCTAGGCCTCCACGCGGCCTCAGCCTTGCCTGACCGCCCCCCGCCCCCCCGGGCCGTCCGTCTCTCACCTGTCGGAGACCTGCTCGAGTTCTACCTTCTTGTCGGAGTGCAGCAGGTGCGACACGTAGTGGCGGATGATGCCCACGAGGAAGGTGATGAGTACGATGGGCAGCACCACCCACACCCTGATGTTCGAGTCCAGAAGCAGCTCCGGCTCCGCCATAGTTTCGCCGGCAGAAATCGATTCCACGGTGGGAGGAGATCGCGGTGTCGATTCCGCCGTTCCGCAACCCACGCCGGGGGGAATCGACTCCCTACGATATCTATCGTAGGGAGTCGCAGCGTTACGGAATCGCAATATATACCGTACCATAGTTCATTTATAGTTCCATAGTTTCATTTATTTGGTATAGCCCTGTGAGCCATTTGGCTCTTGAATCGGGTGCAACCGCAACAAACAAAAACATGAACAAGAAAACATCTGAAAGTGATTATGTGACTGTGCAAACATAAAATCCAGGAATAAAAACATCAAAATATTCCTAAAATAGCACCGTACACCAACGCTGTGTGCAAAAATCCCAGTGGGATGCAAGTCAAATAACAACAACCACAAAACCACTAAGAATAAGGCCATCAGTCTAACTCCGTACTACAATAAACAAAAACATGGCCAAAACCAAAAAAAACTTTTCGAAATCACCAAAATAAAAGCCATAAATGCAATGTAACAGTGGTCATAGGGACTGTGACCGAATTTTTAACAATAAACTACATCAATAAATGATAGCATCAAAATTTAGAGCCATATTTTAGGCCACTAAATAGCAGTGGCAGCTAGGGGTGTACAACTCCTCTAGAGCAGTTTTGAGTGAAGATCTCATAGGTAGTGATTCAAGTTGCAGTTTATTGGCAATAGCATTCCAGACCCTGGGGGCATCAATAGCAAAGGCCCTTCCTCCGGTTTTTGTACGGCAAAAGGGAATGTGAAGCTGGTAAATGAGCGAAGACCTGAGGTCAAATTTGTTCTTTGAAACAGAGAGGAGATCCAGCAGGTAGTCTGCGGATTTTTTTGTAAGTACATCGTGAATAAATAAGATCTGGTGCACAAGCCGTCGAACATTAAGAGATGTTAAGTTTGACCCAATGTAGAGATCACAGTGGTGAGTCCTATGTGGGCAGTTCAATGCAAATCTCAAGGCCGAGTGATAGATGGAATCAAGCTTCTTCAGTACAGTACTTGGGGCTGATTTATATACGATGTCACAGTAGTCAAGTAGAGGCAGTATGGTAGCTTTTATCAATTCCAAACGGAACATTGGGGGGAAGCAGTGCTTGTGTCGATACAGAAAACCAATTTTTATTTTTGTCTTTTTACCAATATAATCAATGTGATCTTCAAAATTAAGTTTTGAATCCAGGATGACCCCAAGATACTTATAGATCTTGACTTGCTCTATTTGATAATTATTCAAGGAATGTAATTGGGGAAAAATAACTTCCTGCTTTAGTCCCGGTGAGAAGCATAGCACCTTGGTTTTGGAGGTATTCAGGACTAGTTTAAGAGAAACTAGCTGATGTTGTAGTTTGTTGAAATCACCCTGGAGCTTAGCAATCACATCATCCGGAGAGCGGCCAGCAGTAATCAGTATCGTGTCATCTGCAAAAATATTTACCCTGGAATGATCCAGGTCAGTGCCCAAGTCATTGACATAAAGAGAGAACAAGAGGGGGCCGAGGATGGAACCCTGTGGAAAACCTTTTGTTATCTTAACACTGTTTGACCTCCAACCATCTGTGAATACAGTTTGGGTGCGAGAAAAGAGGTCATTTTTTAACCATTGTACTGTGTTCTCGGAAAAACCGAGGCAACTTAGTTTACTAAGCAGGGTGTTGTGGTCTACTGTATCCAAAGCTTTGGACAGGTCAAGAAAAAGACAGGCACAGTACTGCTTATTATCAAGGTTATTGTAAATTTTATTCAAAGAGTCTAATGCAGCAGATGTGGTGCTGTATTTTTTTCGGAACCCAGATTGTTTTAGATGTAGTAGATTGTTGGTGGACAGGAAACTGCTAATTTGGTAGTTCAATAATTTTTCAAAAAATTTTCATCAATGGGGACAAAATTGAGATAGGTCGGTAGTTATTAGGATCATCTTTAGGGCCCCCTTTGTGAAGTGGACGGACATAGGAATGTTTCCATTCTAGAGGAACTGATGCTTCTTTGATGGACAGGTTGAAAATATGGGCTATAGGTTTGTATATTAGGTGACCAACAGTTAGTAGAGCAAAGACGGGAAAACTATCTGCTCCGGTAGAGGAGGACCCTTTGAGGTAGGACAGTTGTTTCAGAACATTACTTTCGTGGATTGGTTGGAAACTAAATTCGTTTAATGTTTGGACAGGGGTGTAGGAATTTGCGGGAGCAGGGGTGACTCCCAATACATTATCAAAAAGATTACTAGCTTCAGAAAAATGAAGGTTAAAATTGTCAACTATTTTTTGGGGATCTGAAAAATATTCCCCATTTCGGTTAAGCTCAACGGGGAGATTGTCTGTTTTGGATGCCTTTTCGATAGATTTGATTGTTTTCCAAAAAATCCTGGCATTTCCATGTGATTCTAGGAGAGTGGAGGAAAAGTAGGCATTTTTTGCATGCCGTATTTTTTTTACGCATCTATTCCTTAAAATCCTGTATTCTAGCCAGTCATTTACCAAATTACTTTTCTGAGCACATGCCCAAACCTTGTCCCTAGTTTTCATGAGCTTTGTAATCAAAGGATCATACCATGGTGGGCGGTTGCCTTTAGTTTTAAATCTAACCAACGGAGCATGTTTGTTAAGAATTTGGAGAAACGTGTACCTGAAAGTCTCCCAAGCCGTAGTCAGGTTGGGGATATCACAAACCTTATCAATATCCGAGTGAAGCACATCATTTGTAAATGCCTGAGTGCTGAAGTGCCTCAAAGAGTGCTTCTCAACAATTTTAGGGGGGGCTTTGGGTCTGGCTGATGATCTAACCCCAAAAATGAAGGAGTGATCACTAAGGTTATTACCCAGAACACCAGTCAGTGCGAAATTGTGAGGGGCATTTGTCAATAGGACGTCAAGCAGAGTTGACTGTCCACGGATGTTTTAGGTTGGGTCTTGTGGGGACATTTATTAATTGAAACAGGTTAAATTCATCTGTAAAATTTGTGGCCACGGCCGGCGGGTTTAGCCAATTCCAATTTAGATCACCCACTAAAACTATTTCACCTTTAGGGAGGCCCCCAAAAAGCTCTCTCAGTGCCGATGCAGCTTCAACATCCTTCCCACAAGGCGGTCTATAGCAGCACACTACCAATATCTGTTGATTATTTGGGAGAGTTATTCTGAGAGCCAAACCTTCAAAGCAACATTTTTTAAACAAGGAGTGAGCTGGTGAACATGCAATAGTGATACGAACATAGATGGCAATTCCACCTCCTTTAGATCCTCGGTCAAGCCGAAAAAGGTTGTAGTTTTCAATCGTAATCTGCAAGTCATTGACGGCAGGAGTGAGAAATGTTTCTGTCAGGCAAAAAATGTCCGGGTCAAGATTTGCCACTTCTAGTTTTGGTTGACTTAATTTAATCACAAGCCCTCTGATGTTGACATGTAGAACACCTACACCTTTCCTGGCAGAAAAATCTACGGAATTATACGAGTTCTTTTCATTTGGGCCAGGATGAAGCTCAATACCACCCAGAAATAAGAAAAGTAGAATTCTTCTTCTTTGGTTCTTTCGGTAAAGTCACGTAGAATGAGAATAAAATAATAAAGTAGAATTAACAGTTTGCATAAGTATTTTCTGTGAAAGGATGAAGAGCGGCGAACCTTGGACGAATAGCAGCAGCTCGCAGATGGTGTTATTTTTAAGAGCAGAATGAAGTTTGGAAGGAGTGCTGGTGAAGTAATGGGACAAAGATAGGGTTTAAAAGGATACAATGATGGAGTGTAGAAGTGTCTATGAGCTGTTTCATTTGCAGGTGTAGTGGCAAATCGAGCAACAAGTATTGACGCAAAATAATGAGGGTAGCCGTTTGTAGAGTTGAGTGTGGCACTAGATATGGCCGGGAGGGACAGCAGTATGATACACAGCAGGAGAATTGCCATCTTTAAAATATCCGGGGTATACACAGATTTACACACAAGTGGAATAGAAATATATATACTTGTAGGCCGAGCGTGAGAAAAACGTCTTGCCGCACTCGTCACACATGCACGGCTTCTCGCCCATATGCTAGGGTTTAACAGCGCCCATCCCCCCCCCCAGACAGCAGATTCTTGGCTGTTGTGGGCTCGGCTGAAAAACGCTTGCACCACCTCCTTTCCCCGCCGCAGGATGGTGGTCGAGTTAGCCCTCGTACGATATAATTATATCGCTATATCGTTAATATTTTCATATTTCACTTCCTTACTCATTTTCGGAATGATTACAGCGTAAAATAGAAAGTTTTAAAGCAATCATTATTTATCACATTACATTACAGTAGTGCTTTGCGAACTCTTTTCCGGAGTAATTGGCAATATTCCATCAACATTTCATAATTTTTTATTTTGAATACGATTGAGTTTATTTTGTCATACATTTTTACTCTTGAAGGGTTTGTCTCTTTCTCAATTATCAGGCAACCCTTCATATGCCAATTTAAAAAAAAACTACTCTTATGAGACATCCAAACAGAGCCAGGCACTTTAGCAGCTGTCGAGCGTAGATATAAAAATAATAATCACGACGTTTCGATCACAACACAGGCAATCGTCTGCAGGTGAGAGACGATTTCTTGTGTTGCGATCCAAACGTCGTGATTTCTCTATTATTTTATTATTTTTCTATCTACGTGACTTTACCGGAAGACTCAAAAAGTATGAATTCCTGCAGTCACGAAAGCTTTAAAGCAACGTTTATATTTTACTGGGTAAGGCCCACTGAGCTATGCAGATCTTTTTCAGAAGCGGCCTGGCCACAAATAGTAGCTCAGTAACGTGGCTTATCACTTGGAAATGTATAGCAGCCAAATGCTGTACTCTAAACGCACGTTTCTAAATGTGGAGGGGAAACCCGGAGGAGCCGGAGAAAACCACGCGACCACGGGGAGAACGACAAGCAAAGTCCAAACGTACAGGAGTCAGGGTCGGGATCGAAGCTCGTCTATAGCAGGCGAGGTGGCTGACATCTCGCCACCTTAGCACCAGAAGAGTGGCACTCCCCGACGACACGAAGCTATGTGCAATGACTGGCGAAACGTCG